ACATCCAGAGCATCGAGATGGCTCTAGAAAGCCCAATCCTAGAAGATAGAGAGAGAGAGAGAGTGCTGTCCAGCATCGACCCAGAGAAACCAGTATGTGAAGAGAAGATCCCACTGCCAGAAGAAATGGCAGAAGAGGCAAAAGACTGGTGGTACAATGATGACATCAGTGGAAAAGAGCTTCTACCTGAGAAGGTAGAGAAAGCCAGGAAAGATGAGATCGACATTGTCGAATCAATGGGAGTTTGGGAAAAGATCCCAAGAAGCAAAGTTCCAAAAGGAACCAAAACCATTGGAACTCGATGGGTAGATGTGAACAAGCAAGATGAAACCAATCCTCTCTACAGAAGTCGATTGGTGGCGCAAGAAATCAAAAGAGGCTCAGGTTTCGACGAATTTTTCGCAGCCATGCCGAGCCTAGCAGCTTTGAAGCTACTGCTAACCATTGCAGTCAGCGACAGCCTTCCATTGGAGAAAGGCGAGAAAAGAAAGACAAAGCTATCTTTTCTAGGATTTTTAGATGTGAAGAGAGCTCATTTCTACTCCTAGGCAACAAGAGAACTCTATGTTGAGATTCCATCTGAAGGCAAGAAGCCAGAAGATGGAGATGTGGTAGGCAGATTGGTCAGAAGCCTGTATGGCACCAGAGACGCGCCCATGAACTGGGAGCTGACCATCGCAGAGTTCACGAAGAAGCTAGGATTTTTACAAGGGACGTCCAATCCATGTATTTACTACCATGCATCCAGAGAACTTCGAACAGAAGCGCATGGAGATGATTTCACGACAGTTGGAAGTTTTTGAAGATATCAAATGGTTTCGCGCTTCAGCAGCCAAAGAATGGCAAGTTGTGGAACGAGGCATTCTTGGCCACCTGGATCACCAAAAGCAAGCCAACAGATCAGAGTGTTGAACCGCATCATCACTTGGTCAAATGAAGGCATTTGGTGGGAACCAGATCCAAGACATGCAGAGTTGATCATTAAGTGGTTAGGCGCTGGTCAACCAGGCAAGGTCAAGACACCTTTGGCCAAGCCAAGTCAAGAGCAACTGATAAAGAAAAAGTTCCACTGAGTGCCGAAGATGCAACGATGTATAGATCTATTGCTGTGAGAGCCGCGTATTTGGCACAAGATCGACCTGATCTGCAAACTGCAACGCGCTCGTTGGCACAAGGTCTACAGAGTCCAACATCGAGGCACTGGAATATGCTGAAACGATTGGCCAGATATGTCAGGTATCGACCAAGAGTTGCACAGTTGTTTCCAAATCAAAGCGCCTGCAACCCCTTCAACATGTGGTCAGATGCCGACCATGCAGGTTGCATAAGGACACGAAAGAGTGTGTCAGGAGGCGTGCTCATAGCCAACAAATGCTGTCTCACACATACAGCAAAGGTCAAGGAGTTGTCGCCCTCAGCAGTGGCGAATCCGAGTACTACGGACTTGTTTCAGGAGCATGTCAGATGCTTGGAGTCGCATCAACTGCAAGAGACTGGGGCTTGTTTCCCAGCAAAGGGGTGACAATGGACGCTTCCGCTAACATCGCCATGAAAAACCGTCGAGGTTTGGGGCGAGCCAAACATGTTGACACTCAGTACCACTGGGTACAAGAGCGTACAGCAAAGAAAGAATTTCGTCTCAAGAAGGAAGGCACCGACCGAATGTTGGCCGACGTGCTAACGAAAGCTGTCACCGAAGAGAAAATGACTACAGCTATGAAAGGCAAGAACTTCCACTACTTGGAAGGTGAGCATGAGCTGACTTTGAGAGCGTGAACGGCTTGAGCTAGAGTAGGTACATCTTGGTCTTGAAGAGGTACTGAAGGGTTACGAGCTAATTAGTTCAGCGCATGAGTGAAGCGTGCTAATCCTGACTCGCTTAACTTCTGAGAGACGTTAAACTCGGGAGGCGTGATCAGATGTAGCACCAGTTACATGTACATGCCATAGCTTTGTATAGATGTATGTTTCAGAAGCGAGAAAGTGGAAGAGCCGATGGGTGCCGCTCGGCAATGTTGAGCAGACTGAGGAAATCAGGTCAGATAGCCCGACAGGTGACGGTGATCTTCACACGACCATCACAGCGTGGGGAAGCAAATTGCAGTCTTGACAGTGGGCAGAGTTTCTCGAAGGGCGGGTTGACAGCAAGCGTCATATATCCAGCTTGCTTTTGTAAGCTGGAAGATACCGGACGACGCATGGCACTGTTGACTATGCATGTGGGTGATTTTGCTTTAGAGCTACCTCCCAGAGGCCAAGGAATCATGGATTCTCTTGGGTGGATGTGATGTGGTATCTCGGGAGGAGAGCAATCCTATAGGTACTGCGGAAAGGCATTTGCTGAATTTTGCTGAAGAAGATTGTGTTTGAGATTCATCAAGGGCCATTCGTCGCATTAAGGTCGGTATAGTGGCAGGAAGCTGGCAGAAAAATTCTTCAAACCTGATGATATCACTAAACTTTGTTCAGCGGTAGGTTCACCAGCTTGGGTTTCTAGGCGGGCCGTCCAGATTTCGCCTGTCGTATGAGCTACTTGCCAAGCGCCCTCAATGGAGACACAGTTAGGCCCACCGTCCTCTCAAAGATGTAGTATTCAGGTTTCGCTAAAACCCTTTGAACACATGATGAAAGCGCATACATTTATGGCACGTTGCTGCTAGGCTTTTCGTCAGCGAGTCAACGACCAACGTGCACGCAGGTCCACGCTACAGGCAGAGACATTTTTGTTGCAATCCGGAATTGAAAGCGGACAAGATCCGCGCCCTTCTGCGCTGTCGAAGGGGCTGGGAACCCATCATGAGATTTCGAGTTCCACCCTTACTTGCAGTTTCCCGATCGCCGATCACTATGCGATCATCTGAAAACAGCTGAAGTCAATCCATCAAGGCCTATGGGAAGCACGGGGCGCACATGGCACATCTTCCCTCAAGGAGGAGAAGCTGGAGAAGCTCCACTGGATGTCAACGCACACCATGATCAGCGACGCGCTCACGGAGAGTGCGACGCCCCTTTTGTTGCTGAGCGCGACTTGCTCACGCGTGTATCAAGTTGACGAGGACAAGAACCGCAAGAAGAACGCAGAACGATGATTTGCAGAGAAGTAAGTTTCACGCATATTGCATTTGCCACTCTGCCAAGAGCACTCGTGACCGCCCAGCAGCTGTAGAAATTCCTGTCTAGTGCGTACTGATGTACAGCTTATCCTGGAACGATTCCAAGAACAGGTTGAATGTGCATTTTCCAGTTGTTATGGATTGTTTAGGCCGAGTTCTTTCCATGTGTACATTCTGATGCTGTTTGGGATTGCGCTGAGCTGACGCGCTTTCGCACGCGTAGAAAAATGCATTTGGACAACATAAATGGGCGCACTTTCACATAGGCTTTGGAAGGGTGAACCCAGAGACTGCTGGGGAAGAACGAAAAAGAACCTTGGTTTACACCATGTCGCTATTTGAGGGCTCTCTTGTGACGCAAGTGATGCTGCAACGGGTCCCGCTAGCATTTTTCGCATCATCAACTGGGCATGACGGCATCTTTTGGAGCGCTTTGGCAAATTGGTTCCTCTAAATAGCGCGTTGTTGTTTACAATGTTTTTGTCTTAGTTCGTCGAGTCGGGCCATGCCTGAAGTCGAACCACGCGTGAAAGGACAGACAGACCCAAACGCAAAGAGTCGAAGAAAAGCCTTTAGGCCGCACTTTTGGGTTGGCGCGTTGTGTCGGAGGGCCCCCTCCGTCAAAAGGGCGCACATGAAAAAGTGTGTTCTAGCGCCAGAAAAAGCCTTTAGGAGGAGCTTTTGTTGGTGCCCTTGCGCTTTCTTTGAAGGCCGTCTCGGGGTAAAAAAGGATAAAAAATTGACGCTCACTTGCAATGAAGCTGGTGAGCGCTGTTTGAGATGAATTGTCGATACAGGTATGGGAAGGCGGTGTGGCTTACAGATCTAGATGGAGAGAGCTGACGAATGGGCTGGCGCCCTTCTGCGCTCGCAGCGACAAAGGACGCCTTGCGCAAAGGGTTCCGGGTTCTATAGAGCCAAGTTCTCCCAGAAAGACCCTTGAGGAGGTGTTTTTGTTGCTGCCCTTGTGCGCTTTGCTTGGAGGCTGTCTCGGGCCGAAAGAGGGCACTTCCGAAAAAAACCGTTCTAGCGATAGGACATTGGACAAAGCAACAAAATGAATCTTGCAAACGAAGTGAAAATTGTCAGGGGGATCTGTGCGGGAGTGTTGGAGACTCGCATCGCTTGCTGGAGCCTCTTGAGCGAAACAAGTTGCCCTAAGCTAAGCGTTTGCGAGGGCTGGTTTTCGCCCCCCTCACGTCTCATGTATGACCAGCATCGGCCGCTAACGTAAAGTTTGCTCTTTTCAACGCTCTGTTCAACAGTGGCATCAGCATCAGCTGCGGCTGCAGCAAGGGGGTATTTCAAGCCGATAGTCCTGCTTCATCGATCCGAGATGGAACCTTGACAACAAGCAGCAAAAATATCATGCGGACTTGCAGCACACTTAGCCCCATATGGCGACAACCTTGGGAGTTCTTGTTTGAGTGTGGTGTATTGCGCATATTGTGATCAATCGTCTGTTGATTTGTAAGGCCCCGGCCCTGGAAAACTCACATGAACGTGGATGTAACAGATGATGTAACTAGAGAGCGTGCCCTTGATGTTTCAATGTTTCAGTATGTGTATTAGTATATGTATATCCATAATCCATTCTGTTCATAGATGCTTTAAAATTCCAAAAAAGAACTGCATAAAAGTGGGCCCCTGCGTTCGAACGATTGCCAACTCACCAGTCTACATGACAGAAAGGCATGTGAGTTTGATATGGAATCAATGCTATTCGGTTCTATCCGCAGTGCCTTGCTAAATGCTGGACGCATTGAAAATATCATGCACTTTGATCCAAAGAACTAGCGACGGAGACATCGCACTCGACCCTTCAAAACAAATTAATGGTGTCCACGCGTCGATTGATTTGTTTGTTGCAAGAACTGCGCGTTTGAGGCTACAGCAATGGTGTGTATTACTTGGTGGCGGAGGCCTGGCTATTTTGGTCATGACCATCGCATCAGACGCAGAGGGCACGTAAGATCGCACAAGCAGATATATGTTTGAAGCCTGAAGTCGCCTGTTGGAAAGGCAGAAAGTACAACGTGGAAGACTCCAGCAGTAAGCAGCGCCAGCCCAATTGGCCGCTCTGAACACACAGCTGTCATGGACGCAAGCGGACGGATGTGGATATTCGCTGGCTGGGATGGTTCCAGCAGGAGGCTCAGCAAACGTTGGGAGTGAATGTCAGCCCGCGCGCAAAAACCTACATAGACTGCACAGGATTTTGTCTAAGGTCGCCTCAATGATGTCCACTACTTGGACACAAAGGCCACTGCGCATTGGTATTTGCGCAAGTCATGTGGCCACATTGTTTGGATTATGAGCTCCACTACGTTCGGTAATTCTGTTGACCTCCTGTAATCCTTGTCACATTTGGTCACTTCAGGTCAACAGCCGCAGAAAGGTTAGGTCAATGTTTGCGTTATGAGCTATCATAAATTTGGCTGATCGATCATTCCGACTCATTTGCGTAAGGGGATAGAGTGGAAGACACCCGCCGCCCGCCCAACTCTTAAGCATTGTTTTCCATTTGTCAGTCGGCGCCTGCAGCATGGACGACTCCATCTTTAAGTGGCTCCAGCCCTTCCACCCGGGACGCACTCTCAGCAGTGATGGACGCCAGCCAAAAGATCTGGATATTTGGCGGTGACGATGGCAGCAGCTGTAGACTCAGCAATCCTGCGATCGGAAAAATCTCTGTGCGAACCGGTGGGGGGCAACATTGCTTCAGGTTTTCTCAACGATGTGCATTATTTGGACACACAGGCGCGCCAATTGATAGTTCAAATGGTTTGTCGCAGGCGTTCACGCACCACGCGTTGGAGATTATACGCAATGGGGCAGTTGGTTTGCAGTGGTTTCGTGCTCCAGGTTGAGTTGTACACCTGAAGCAAATTCAAAGGGTGCTCATTCAACAGTTCCAACTCCAATTACACCGGCATTTACCCCAAACCGCCAAACAGTACTTGTTCAGTTGGTTTGCTTTCACTCGCCATGGCATACACAAAGACAAAAGAAGGGCTTTATCACGCTCTACTTTTTCAAGAGCAAACTGGTTGCCTTTTTTCAGGAGTACATCTGTGTATTTGGACAAATGCAAGCATGTGGTTCAAAAACATTACTTTGCATGTTGAACCGCGCTGATAAGCCTCCTCGGAAACACGTGTTGTCTTAAAGTTGCGTATTTTCCCACATACAGCGCGGCATTTCACTTCCAAAGCCACAACTCTGGCTTGTCAGGAGCATATCATTGCACCAATAACTGTGTAGGTTCTCACAAACATGACGTGGCCCGACGCAACCCTGACGTGGCCCGACGCAACCCTGCATTTAAAAAGCATCCCGTCGCGGGCTGTCAGAAATGCACGTGTGCATTTTGAGCGGTCTTTCCACGGGCATAAATCAGTCCTTACAAAGGCATGACATTGCATGTTGCAGAAATTCATCGGAATTCATTTATGTTTTTTGACACATGCCTCTGTGCATTTTCACTAATAACTAACACAACGGCGTACTTTCAGAAACACGACGTTGCATTTCCAAAGTCAGCCTTGGTTTGTCCAACGTCAGAAAACAATTTGCGCACTTCGAGCAATGCCAACGTGGGTTTTCCGAAACATGTCGTTTTCAGAAGCATCAAGGCACGAAGGTTCACCGAGCCACCGAGCGCATGCTATCACGATCATTGGGCGAACATGGCTTCACTGAGAAGAAATCTGGGAATCCAACCCACTGTAATCACATCGCGACAGGTTGCCAGTGAAAAACAAGAAAGGAGACAAGTGAGGAAATTGCGACAGGTTGCCAGCGGCGAGACAAGGAGGAAGACCAGTCTGAAAATCATTTTGCGAAGTGGGGAAGTGACAAAGGGATTGCGTGGTAGGCGCAGGACTTGGTGCTCTGCAAGGGGTCACATGTACGCCCTGGCGTCCCGTGGTCTCCGTGGCTTTTGCGTGGCAGGCGCAGGACTTGGTGCATGGGCCCTCCCATCATAAATTATTCCAGGGTAGAGGTCACCCCGAGGAATAGTTTCCAGGAATTATTTTGCAAGAATAGTTTTGGTAACACCTTGAAGTCGAGGTGGGTGGATGGTACCCGGGAATAACTTAGTCGGAATCGACTTTCAAAGCATGACAATCATGGGGGAACAAGAACGGTGTCACAAGGATCCCTATGACGCCTTTCGTTCTGTAAACCTTCAACCTCTCTTGCCAGAAAAGAGAGCTGTCAGTTGTGGATCTATGAAGAACGTGGCTCGGGCCATCTCAGGCCAAATGCTCCCCATTGCGTAGGGATCACATCAAAGCCACCCTGGACTTAAATCTGGTGTCAAAGCCTGTGACTTTCTGGACGGCGGGCCCACGCCAGAAGCTGGACCCAGAAACCAAACTTGGGAGTGGACCCCAGACCTTGACTAAGGAACTGCCAGATCAGGGCTACCAGGTCATAGGCGCCGCAGCCAAATCTTTCTTGTGGACCCTGAAGCTGTAGATTTGTGGAAGCTGCAAGATCTGTGCCCCGAAAGGGCAAGGTTGCCTCGTGTTGTAGGCCTCTGCTCTGTAGACTGCTAGCTGCTAAACTATTCCCACCCCTGGAAATATTTCAGTCCTTGGGCCTTCCTCTGAAACAGTAAGCAAAGAAGCGATGCCAAATTCGGCACTAAATTCCAGAACTGGTCTCACCAAACTTGGGAGCAGACCCCAGACCAGGGAATAATGGAATAAGAAACTGTCAGGTCAGGGGTCTTGGGTCAAGATTTGGCTGGGTGCTTATGGCTAACCCGTGATCTAATAGTTCCGAAGTCCGGGCTGGGATTGCTGATCTGAAAAGTTCAGCCGTTTTGCCGCCTGTTGAATCACTTGATGCGACCGGAAACGAAGAGGAATCAAAATGCAGAAGATCATTGTAGTCAAGCTGAACTTGTGTTTTGGAACGCGTGTAAGATCAAGATCACCTATAGGCTGCAAGGCAGACATGGCTGTAACTTATTATTCCTGACAGGTGTTCACATATGGATTAATTTTTGGCCAGGTACCAACATGAGGAAAAAGTTAAACCCATCCACTGAGACCCAGATGGTAGGGCCCATTTTGGTGCTCTGCAAGGGGTCGGATGTACGCGCTGGCGTCCTGTGGTCTTCGTGGCTTTTGCACAGGCGCAGGACTTGGTGCTTCGCAAGGGGTCGGATGTACGCCCTGTGGTCACTGGTCTCCGTGGCTTTTGCATGGCAGGCGCTACGCCCACGCGTCCTGTGGTCCCCGTGGCTTTTGCGCGGCAGGCGCAGGACTTGGTGCTTCGCAAGGGGTCGGATGTACGCCCTGGCGTCCTGTGGTCTCCGTGGCTTTTGCATGGCGCGCGCAGGACTTGGTGCTCTACAAGCAGTCGGATGTTGTTCGTGGTCCTGTGGGCTTTGGGGCTTTTGCGGCAGGCGCAGGACTTGATGCTCTGGAAGGGGACGGATGTACGCCCTGCCGTCCAGTGGTCCCCGTGGCTTTTGCGTGTAGGCTTGGTTCTCCGGAAGGGGTTGGAGCGTCCTGTGGTCTCCGTGGCTTTTGCGTGGCGGGGGCGGTTCTTGGTCCTCTCCAAGGGGTTGGACGCACGTCTTCAGCCAACAGCTGTTTCCCAAAATTTTCAACCCACTGATGGGAGCAAAGTTGTCCCGAAGCTGCTGGTACCCACCGGATGGCTGCCAGAGTCCAAGCGCCGACGCAGGCCCGTCACGCAGCCATTGAGCACCGCCTCTGGAAGCCAGGTTCTCTGCCAACCGATATTCAGAGCAGTTTGCAGCACATGCATGACACCAGCATTCTCCGGCTTGCTCTCCTGCAGTTCTCCACCAACCGCCACCAACGACTCCTGTGTCTGGCGAAGTTGTTAACATGTGGGGTTATCCAGTCCTATAATTGCAAGCTGTTGGTCAACACCCAAACGCAGCCTTACGAGCCATTGAGAGACCAACATCTATTGTGACCAAATAGGTCCAGTTCCGGAGAAGGTGGAAGTGAACCCTATTCCTTTGCCGCGCCTGGAGGAAACATGTCACGATCATCTCCTGATTCCGGAATGAACGGTGTAAGCTCAGCTGACGACGGTTCCATGGGATCAAGAGAAGGTAGCACCATGCCACCGGAAGGTGCTACGTCGCGAGCCAGAGAACTCAAAACATTTCTTCAAACCTTTGGCAGGTCTGCCTCGCCAAGGATACTCCACGCTCGATCTCCGAAGAAGAGTATTGAGAGAACAAGGAAGATCAGTGGCAGCCCTAACCTTAGAGACGACAGAAAAGAGATGGAGTTATTGGAAGAACTACGACCATCCAGTGGGGCATACGAATTCTTGCACGAAGCATTCTCATTTGCAATCTGGATACACAGGCCTGTATCAGAGATCTAGGGAAGAATTCACACATGTATCAGAAATGGAAGGACCATAGAGTTTCGACTGCGCGAGATGATTCAAGAAGCCGAAGGCGCAACGATTAGGATACAAGAACTCGAACACAAACTGCGACTTGCAGACAAAGAACTTGCTCAAGAAAGCGTCGAAGAACTTTCAGAATTCCACACGAACCAAAAGATTGAGGATATGTCTGGTGAACTGCAAGAGGCATGAGGGCAGATTCATCAACAATCGCAGAGTGCCTCGACAATGAGTATTCATGCACTCAGTGAAAACATCGCCATGAGGAATGTCGCTGACCAGCTACAGGCAAGAATGCTAGCACTCCAAGATGAGAACACGAACATACCAGAAGTGACTCCACGCGAGAGAGAGAGAGAGAGACTGTTGAACTGCGAACACTATCAGTTGCAACTCATGGACGAGGTGTCACAGGCAAACGGGAGTTGTAACCATGAACAACTTGTCGTTGAACACCTCAAAGGACAGAGGACAAGTCGCATCACTCAAGGGTTTTGAACACAATGCCTACACTGAATTGGGCTACTGTGACTCTGAGGTTCATGCGGAATCACAGGCATACCCGATGGAATGAGCCGCAGAAAAGATGAAGGGTCCACGTCTACACTTTGAGACTAAGATAGTGAAAGAGGCTATGGACAAGATGGAAACTGCTGTAAGAGATATTCGAGTATAGCAGAACGGGAAAGGGGCCGAATCAAAAGAGCCAACGCCGCACTAATCGAAGCCAACACTCAATCGAAGATGAGTAACGTCAGAGGAACACCAGGTTTTGGTGGTCCAGAGTGACTCAGAACTTCACAAGAAGGTAAAGGTCCTAGAACGGATCATTGCTGACAATGCGACAGTGCTCAGGGAACTCCGGAGAGAAAATATTCTGTTGAAGATCGAAACGCAATTTCTGATTGCAATCACGCAAAGAAATCAGGTCGAGTGAATGAGCTGAGAGCTCACAGATTCCTCACGATCTGCAAAATGCATGTGGTTTTCGAAGCGTCTTCAGAATCGCGCAAGATTTCCGATCGCGGCTGCGCGACTTCCAAGGGATAATGTAGACCATGAAGACGACGAGTTGAACTATTGGGAAACACGAGGCATCGGTCGCAACTGCATCAAGAAGCCAAAACCTCAAAGACGGTTGTGCCCAGTAGCAGTACGAGCAGCAGCGTCCCACCATACAGGTGAACGCATTACGGTGAACGCAACAGACAATGAGGACAGTGTGATGCTCTATTCGACACACGCCCGCCTCACACGTCGTGACGGACATTTGCGATGAACTTTGGCGGCAGCTCCCATATAACGTCTATCCACCGGATGATGTCCATTATGAAGTCGGGAATATTGCCAGGCGGGACCGATCAAGTGAGGAACAGTTCTTTCTTCAACCAGCACGCTTCGTGGAACAGGAGATCAGAGATCATATTGAGGTCAAGGATTCAAGTAGTGCTCGTCTATGGTCACGTTGTTGAGCACCGCTTTGCGAGAACTCATGTACCATCATCTTCGACCCAGTACCAGGGGCTATGTGAGAGGGGCCTGTTACAAAGATCCCAAATATGGGGAGTGGAAGCGTTTGTTGGTCAAGGGCATCAATGATCATCTCATTCTCGGCCGCTGCCGGCACCCAGCACCCAGCACCAGCACCAGCAACCTGCAGCTCACAGCGCCAGCGCCGGCACACGGCAAGATGAAAGCACCAACTGACGTAGGTGATCAAGTCGTCGGTCTCGCGTATGTTCATGATGATTTCTGGAATGATGACGATGGCAATTGTGAACCATTTGCGGTCAAGTCCAAGGAAGTAGCGCAGGATGCTCAAGCAACATCAGTTCAGATTCATGGAAGTGCAACAGGATCACTTGCTGGCCCTGCTTCAGGTGAGTGGTTTCAAACGTATCTTCTGCACTCTCAAGTGCACCAATGGTCGCGAGGATCCTCATTTCCGAATCATTTGGGCTGAGGGTGATCTTCCTCGCTTGACTTCTCTCTCCAAGAACACTTCAGGCTGCCTGGGACTGGTTAAGGGGCGTGATGGCATGGGTCTCCGCTTTAAACGCGAGGACTTTGCAGCAACTTGGAAGGTCGTTCACCCCACCAAGGAGGTTCCACCAGACCTGCGAGGAGCAGAATGGATCAAACTCCAACCACTGCCTTTTGGCGCATCCAAGGACATGCTGATGCAATGTGCTTTGACCTGCAAATGGAAGATCGATCCAGCCGATTAGGCAAATTGGTGCCCGCGCATGGTTGATTGCGAGCAGTGAGCCTATTCCCTCAGGGATCTTGCTTTACAACTCGGCGCCCGTCTTGGCTCAGCCGCTGCCATCAAAGACAGACAGCCGCAAGTCGCCCATCATTGCTGGCTCCTATATTCCAGAAGAAGCCGGCTACGACAGGTGTTCAGAAGATGAGAAGGATGTGGCTGTCATGGACAACCTTGAAGCAATCAAGAAAAGACGATGCAACTGAAGGCCGGACCAAGAGCTGCAAAGTCAGAAGAAAGGTCGTCGGTGAGAGGACGAAGAAGACTGGTACCCCAGCCAAGGTCCCAAATCTTTTGATCCCGATAATTGGAAGGACAATGTTGGTTTGCCAAAGTGGTATCAGCTACCAGAAGCCATTCCCATCGATCAAGCTGAGATGTCAGCCTGCGAAGATGTGGGACGAGGACTCTCTACATTGATGGATAGGTATCTGATCAGATGTGTTTGCCAGAATATCGTGCCGATCACCAAGCAAGAGTTTCCGAGTTCAAGAAGAGGCGACTTTTCACCAGGTCTACCGCGCTTCCTCCATGACAAGGGGGAGGTCATGGACCCTACCGATGATCAGATGGAAGTCTTCAACGCAAAACGCAAGGTCACGATAGAAGAGGCTTGGCGCAGGTTCCACAGTGAGAAACTTCTTGTCAGTTTTGCTCTCCAAATGTTTGCACATTGGGCTGCACGGGAAATAGCTTCGCGATGACAAAAGAATGTTGACTGAAGCTGAGAGGACAAACAAGGCCAGAAAGATGTTCGAACTGATCCGAAAATGCGTCTAGACTGTCTACAATGTCAACACCTACGCGTATTTCTGCTATGGCCTGAGGAATCGTGAAGGACGCAAACACACTTGGATCCATGGACGTTCTGCATTCCAGAGCAAAGAACCCTTGGGATTGTTGAGTTTGTTGGTCTATACGCAGAAGGGTGTTCAACTACCTCCTATACTACAGCCAGTGAATTCACGAAGAAGATCGCGAAGAATACTCGATCCAAAGGCGTTTGACAGGTGGGACAAAAATCTGACCACTGACCACTTGCAAAGGATGATTCAGAACTACAGTTACGGTACACCAGGAGTGCAGAGAAGCATCCAAAAGGAGTTGGCTTGAATCAGTATTGGAAGAAGATGTACCGAGAGCAAGGCCAGCTGCGCCGGAACTTTCCTCCAGATCTGATCCACACGCATCATCATCATTGTCCTGGCAGCCAACGCGGAGGGTGAAAGCAACGCGCCACATGGAAAGAGCGAGACGCCAAAAGCAAAACCACGACCGCGTCAAAACCAAGAAGATGACCGACAAAAGTGGCGTTCAGAATATGGTTCAGGATGGTATGGAAGACAATGGTAGATGATCCAAAGGGTAGATTGTCCACCGGACATCTTACCATTCCCACGCGCAGCCGGACTCCATTATGCCACATCGGTATAGACGAAACCGATAGTTGAAGCCATTGGACCATAGCGGGGTGAGTTCTCCGAACCACCACAGACGCTCATTTTGGGACTACCTCCTGACGAAGATCTAGTGAGTGTATTTCTGAGCATGGCCAATTCAATTATTCGCGCAATCAGTTTTCTTTTGCACAGTGCCAAAAGTGCTGAAAATACTTGCATGTAATGTAAAGCCCGCTTACGGCAAACCTTCATAACCTGCACCATGCACTATCACTACCTTTGTATTTGTTTGCGCAAGGGAAGATTCAAAAACAACCTTACAGGAGAAATACCAAATGGAAGTCCAGCAGGAACGCGTAGTATGTCTAGGCAACTGTGTGGCATGTACAGCTACGCCGACCGCCAAATCACCTTTGGCCCAAGCGCCCATTTGAGGAAAAAAAGCACCAACTCCTTCGTGTGGACGCGGAGGTGACTAATTGTTGTTTTCACTGCAAGCTGTTGGTTAACACACACACCTACCAAAAAAGACATGTCGGAACAACATTGTTTGTTGGTTGGTGACTTTTGCACCCAAAAACTGTCATAACATCTCATTGATGATCTGCAACTGATTGAATTGAACCGACATTGATTGTGAATTTAAAGGCTGCTCCAAACAGTTGTAAACAGTTGTAAGTGTGCAAACCATATATATATATGACATATGTTGTCAAGAGTCAAGAATATGTTGTCAAGAGTCAAGAGAATCATTTTTATGTGTTTCACTCAGACTCAATCAAACGCTTCTTTAAAGTATCTATGAGTCCGCTTGTTCGTAGGATCCTGTGTTTTTTGTTTCCGACTCCCTATTGCTATCACTCGTCAACCCTGAAAGTTATTGATTGTTTCTACAACGTGTCAATGCTTTTCCCTTACAGTACATGGCCGTACAGTACAGGACCGTACTGGGGTTTGTGCAGCATGACCAGAACACCACGCACAGAGCCCCAGGCGGCCACACCAACATGGACGACCCCATCGGTGGCTGGCACCAACCCCACCGCGCGCTATCGCCACACAGGGGTGATGGATGCCAGTGGAAAGATGTGGATATTTGCTGGCATTGACAGCAGTAAGAGCCTCGGTATTTGCTCGTTGTGTGTTCGCTGACTTGGTGCGTGTGATGCTTCACAAATAAGAGTACAGCTCAGCAACTCAGGTGGCTACTTGAATGACGTGCACTACTTGGACACCCAGGCCAATACACCACACCGAGTGTGACGTTGCATCAGTTAGTTGTTCATTTTGTTTGCACGTTGCATGATGCTGGAAACATACCCTCAGTCTAGTAAGAATCAACAATGCTGTACTGTAGTGGTTTGTTGGCCAAAATTTGGAGGCATTGCATTGTGTCCAGGCCGGCACACCCACGTGGACGACTCCGTCAGTGAGTGGCACCAGTCCAGAAATCCGAAACCGGCATGTCGCCGTCATGGACGGCAATGGAAAGATGTGGATATTTGGTGGCTGGGGACCTGGGAGCAGCAGGCTCAGCATTGGGAGTGAGTTTGCAAAAGATTTGATTCCATATTTATATATTCCTCGCATGTCTCTGAGATCTCTACCTCAATGATGTCCACTGCTTGGACACGCAGGCGCAAACAAGGCTTTGCTAGTACTGAGGAGAAAGGATTCTTATTGTCGGTCCATTTGCATCGCTGGCTCACTTAGACTTAGACCTAAGTGATATCCGGGGATCTCTGAGCTCTGTCAGGCTGCCACACCAACGTGGACAACACCGTCACTGAGCGGCACCAGCCCCAGTGGTCGGGAGCAACTCACAGCGCTGATGGACTGGAGTGGAAAGATGTGGATCTTTGGTGGTACCGATGGCAGCAGCGAGCTCAGCTCAGTTTGCAACTTTGCGAGAGGGTGTGGGAAGCAAAAGCAAGTGTTGGGCTGCTCATGAGACAGTGAGACCGGTTTTTCGCGGTTCACCTCTTTGAGGTCGTTTCAATGAGCTGCATTACTTGGACACCAAGGTAGCGGTGGTGTGGTTTCGGGTGCTCACAGGGCTATGGGACGCTATGGGACCCCTGGGTGCAGGATTTTGTAGAGATAACATGAGAAAAGCAGCAAATGGATGAACATGTTTTGGAATCCCGGACTATTTCGCAATGCAATCCCACAAAGCCCGGGACATCTCCACTTAACCTACCCTGCCTAGACATGTTGAATCATGGGTAAAAAGCTATATCATTTGTATCATTAGGTGAACATTTGTGCAGCGCCCATTGTGCTCCGTTGTGGACACGCCAAAGCAACACATCGCACAATGCAGATCCTGGCGGTGTTTGTTGTTTAATCATGCTGGCAATTCTGGAGAGCCGTTGGAGCATGCCAGGCTGGCACACCAATGTGGTCGACTCCCTTGGTAAGTGGCACCATCCCATTTGTTCGGCGAGCTCATTCGGCAGTATATGATGGAAATGGAAAGATGTGGATATTCGGCGGAAAGACCGACAGCGGCAGCGGCCTCAGCAGGTCCGTGCCGTCCGTGCGGTGCCGCACCATGGGCGCCACAATGCGCCGCATTGCAAATCATGTGGACGCCGTTTTTGTGATGTGGTGTAGTGGCTTAGACACGGGCAGAGGAACCTCGTGAGCATGATAGAATGAGCTTTATCGGTTGCAACATGTTGCAACACTGTTTGTCGCCTTTACATTGTGTAAGTTTTTTTATGCCGCCCGACGCCTGCTAACATCCAAAATGTTTCTGGTGTCCTGCTGATCTTAGGTAAATAGACGTACCATGACGTACCTATCATTACCTATCTATAATATATTATATATTATATAATGTATATATACACATCTTGTTTGTATTGAGAGACTCTTCAACCAGCGAGAAAGGTATATAGACAACAAAAGTGTGATGCAAGAAGCAGCACAGCTTCCTAGAATGCATAGTGTAGTTGCGGTGCTTTTGACTGATTGTACCCACTGTTGTAGGTTGGGCTTTCAAAAGGCACACCCCACAAAATCTATAGCTGTACTGTACGTGTTTCCTCCGCATATAGAACGTATGGTATGGAACGTAAGGTGCCAGGCGAATCCGTTCCTTGCTCAGGCTACGTAAATGAAGTGTATTGCAGAGAAGTGTCAACTACAACCACGACGAGTTCATCGACGACTAGTTCGTCGACGACTAGTTCGTCGACGACTAGTTCATCGACAAGTGCCCATCCTGCTGAAGTCACAAAAAAGGATCAGCCGAGCAAGGCTGCTTAAAAGCCCGTTAAGGCGAGCGTTGATAGGGTTTTCACAGGTATATTGAAAGTTCCGTACGGGTGATGCCGGCTTTAAGAGTCTTGAACCAAGCAGCTTAAGCATGTTGCGTTTTCAATATATCCCTCCATTAGGGGATTTAGGTCACATGAGCCACACGAAGTGCTTTCTTTCTGAAGTGCTGGCCAAGAGTAACAGTTGCTGCCAGTGGAATGGTTCTCACATGTTTGTTGACAGGTACGAGCACCAGCACGACGGCCACAAGCTCCAGCAGCACTTCATCCAGCACTAGCACAAGCAGCACAAGCAGCAGCGCCAGCACCAGCACTTTAACAAGCGTCACCAAGACAGTCACCACCACAACCAGCGAGACAACCAGCAAAACAGCAAGCACGACCACCACCGTAAGCAGTAGCAGCAGCAGTACCAGCGTCTCATTTAGCTCAACTACCACGTCAAGCAGAAGCACTTTCACGTCATCTAGCCTGACTACCAGCACAAGCAGTGCCACAGTGATTACTAGCATGAGCAGTACCATATCAGCCACAATGACAACCGGCACAAGCACCGTATCAGCCACAGCCAGCACCAGAATATCAGCAAGTACAACTTCTAGCACAAGCACCACCACCAGCACTACATCCATCACGACTATCACTATTACCACCACCTGTACTACAACTAACAACGCAACTACTCTTTCCACAGCAGCCAGCAGCAAAGTCAATTTAGGAACAGAAAGCTATACTCGGCTGCAATTGCGAGAAATGGAAGAGCAACGACAAGAGCAAGCACGACTTGCCGTGTTAAACCTGGACGCAACAGAGTCTGAGGTTGTTCAGCAGGTGCTCTCCAACTTATCCAATTCAAATGACGGATCCACCCTTGCCTTTCTTCTGGAAGAAACACGGGTGGGACCAACAACCTTTGCAGCTTTCTCTGCAGCCTTCTCAGCCGCCTGGCACGGTTTCATGTGAGGCATGCGGTGGATTTGATATTTTTACAGTATATAGATCTTCTTCGGCGTCAGGATCGACCTGGTCAATACCCGGTCAATCTTGGCTCGTCATAGTACAGGGATACTGTCGGTGTGAAGGGGTGCGAGCCCTTTCAGTTGAATCTATTTTTGGAATCTGCAGCCTTTGGGACAAACCGGAAACATTTGTACACCATCAGTATATGGTACAGAGATAAACTATAAACTATTGACGAAAACGAGATTGTTCAAAACACGGGCAGAAGCTACTGGTTTCCAGCTTTCTGCCCCAGGAAGCGTGGCCCGACTCTTTCACCATTCCTGCCATTGGGGGCATCGTGGAGATCAGTAGGGAAGTGATGCAGGAGGTACGGCCGCTAGAAGCATCGTAACCAAGCTGTGTTGAGAGAGGATGAGAGAGGTTCAAACTTCAAACCATGATGGTTGAAGGTCGATAGATATCGATAGAGTCGATAGGTGGAGTGGAGGTCGCAGAAACGAGAGCTCCTATAATCTTCCATCGATGTCCACTACTGGCAGAATTGAAAAAGTCCATTTTGCCTTTTTGTCATTGCGCGCCGGGAAAGAAGGTCAAGAAAATACGATTGGAGCTGCGAAGCCAAGATAAGCCGCGAAGCTGCGAGAAAACGTCGGAGCGGCGGAGCTTTGAGAAGCTGCAAGACCTCTTATGCAGATCTCCCTCGCGAGATCCCCTTCTGCGCTTCTAGAAGACCCTTTTGATCACATTTTGCGAGACCCCCTTCTGCCAAACACCCTTCTGCGAAGCATCCTTCTGCGAGACCTTCTGTGAGACTTTCTTCTGCGAGACTCGAGACCACCTTCTCGGAGACCCCTTTTGCGTCGAGACATCCCTCTGGGAGACTCGCTTGCACCCGAGGGGTGACACGGAAGTGCAAGATCCGCAAGCAGTGGAGTTTCCTTAGAACCGAGAGAGGCCCCAGGGGATGATGCGACTCTGCGAAAGCGCGGGAAGCAAGCGGGCGGTTTCCTAGAGCTTTAGCCAAAGGCGCCAGTCATGTACATAGAATGTGCCTGCGACCTGACAGCGGTTAAGTAGGAATCAACAGAAAGCAAAACAGACGCGATTGTCCTAGTTCCTGTTCATGAATATGCCTGGGTCATCCTGGGTCGATACATTTACAACTAAGATCGACTATATATATATAAGAGGAAGTATTTAGAAGTGCTTGTTCTTACTTGACTTGTGCATATTACTCTCTTGTATCACAGGTCTTAGTCCTTCGTACACGTGGGAAAGTGAGACACTAAAGAGGTGAGACACTACAAGCAAAGCTACGTGAAACCGAACGAAGGGCATATGAAAGGCGCGAGTAGTAGAAGGCCCTAACAGCATCAAGCTTAAACTTGCGCGTTCACTTCTCAATCTTGTGTTTTTCACTTTTCTGCGGTGGCTGATGAAGCTTTGGAATTCGTGTGCGTAGTCTGGACTGAATGCCAGTTTGAAAGATTTGATCTTAACAGGGGCGCTTCCTTTGGCACGTTTTTGATGCGTTCGACAGAAGCGGTCTCAAGTGGCATTTCGGGCGCTGCAATAGAATCAAAGGATCTTGCGTAGAAATGTTCATCTTCAAAATCATTATAATCGTGCTGCAACTCACGCCACTTCATCTCAAATTCGGTGGACACTGGCGTAGCCCAGTGAAAAAGACGCGTTGACCCTAACGTGCGGCATACTGTTCCGAGTTGTTCCGAGCGTTTGCAGGAGTTGGTCTTTGCAAGATACAAGCGGACATACATTACTGAAAAATCCGACCAGTCACATCTCATACCGACCATAGTCTGCTTGTCGAAACATGAACTGACAGAGAGGGCGCCGTCGCCTGTAAGCTGATCAACGTGCAGTGTAATACAGCAACGAAGAAAACGGGAGTAGTATACTGCAATTTTGTTCATACCTTTGCGCCTGCAGAGCTTGGAGTTGAGATGATGGGTGACGGCAACGTCCTGCTATAGATCCTGCTAGGTACTCAGGGTACCAGGTACAGTACCCTGGTCGGTGGGCTCGTGGCATAATGGAGCTGGCAAAAACGACGGGAGTCTTGCCAAACCCCCTTTTGTTGATGTTTGATGTCAGCAAATTCGGCAAAGTCGAAAAATCCTATAGGTGTTGTTCGGCCCATCAGCAAGATGGTGGTCATCAGTAAAAAGACCAAAAGCCTCTTTGCGTGGTCCTTGCGTGGACTTGGCAACCTTGTTTTCCTCACGTAAGTAATTTTCAATTTTCGATCTTTGTTGTCCAGTTGGTACATTGCAGTTGGTCTTGTTGGTTCGCCCAGCGTACGGTTCTTCTCCTGCTTCTCCTGCTTCTTCTTCTTCTTCTTCTTCTTGTTCTTCTTCTTCTTCTTCTTCTTCTTCTTGTTCTTCTTCTTGTTGTTCTTCGTCTTCTTCTACTTCTTCTTCTTCTGCTTCTGCTTCTTCTTCTTCTTCTTCGGTGTAACCTTGTCACGGGAGTAGGAATTCATATTCATTTGGCTCTTCAAGACCACTTCTTCATGGGCCATAGCATCAGCGAATGAGGCATTGACTTCAAAGACAGATGATTCAGGCACTGTCTGCCGGCCAATGCGGGGTACAGTGGTCTTTGCCCAATGCTTTTGCCTTGCTCGCTTTGCTTCGCTCACGCGGAGCAATTGCGCAGAGTTGTCCTTCGGGCGTGGACTTTTCCTTCACTTTTCTTTGACTATGTAATGCACAAGATGAACTGATTCGTGTAGGTAAACGTCGCTTTGTTTGCAAAGTTTACCTGTGCAGCTTTTGGTCTTGGACCCTGCAAGACCTGTATGGTTTTTGCCTCTACCCTGAGTTAGGGTGTGGCATTCAGCTTTCCTGTCTGCTGTTACACCTCCAACATCGCGAGCAGGCCCCACTTCCACGAATTGACACGGAAGTGCAAGCAGTGGAGTTTTGTTGGAAAAAGCACTGTCTCAGAGCGAGGCCCCAAAGCGACGATGCGAATTCATATGAACGGCGCGAAAGCATGCGAAGCAAGCGGTCTGATTTCCTTGAGCATCAGAATGTGAGACCTGACAGGGGTTAAGTAAGAAGCAAAACAAATACAATAGAAATACAGGGCAGGGGGGGGTCTAGGGCCTGGAGCCGCCTTTTGCAAGACCTCTTTCTGCGGTTCCCTTTAGCGAGACTTCCTTCGAGAGGCCTCTTCTGCAAGGCTCTGCGAGTTTGGTTTCACCATGCACCGCGCACCCCTACAGGCCCACAGCACCAATAAATTACTCACAGCGCCATCGGGCCTCCCCAGCCTCTGCGTTTTGTTGGATATGTTGTTGGGCAGCCTGGTCTGAATCTTCATTGAGCTTTCTATCTTTTGCCAAACACATCTTGCAGGTCACATCAGAGGCTAAAATCGATGGACCTGTCCTCGTGTCCATCACCACCATCAATGAAGAGCTCTCCGCAGCCTTCAGGCGGGCTCTGATTCAGCGCAACCTGAGTAAAAATTGTTGGCTCGTCGATGTGACGTTGATGTGGCAGCCGATCAAGTGGCACGCTTGAGATCGTTGGTTGGTTGCCTCGAGCTGGGAAGGGGAAACGCCGCTGTTCCATTGCATTCAGTACTCAGCATGCCATCACGCACAGATTGAATTTCATTGACCAGACCAATTCGGAACCATCTCCTTGTAAAACTATTCTCCAGATAGATACGCAGCGAACCAGGCGCAAAACCTACATTACAGAGTCTCGACTGTTGCGCAATTGCGCTATTTATGTTACGATTGAATCACGAAACAAATGCAACATATGGTAATGTAGGATCGCACAGAACTGCTCCAATTCCTACCCAAGGTGTGGTCAGTCAAAGCAAAACTGTCGGTGTATGTTGTGCTTCAGACATGCTTCAGACACTGGCAGGAGTGACGAGGCTCTGGGCCTCCGCGAGACATACTTTGAGCTCAGATCCAAGCTGCTCAGCGTGACTTGTCCTGTTCAAGAGTAGATGCTCGAAACCGGAACCCAGCTTCTTCTTTGAAGAAAATGGCATCGGGGGTCATATCTCCATCATCGTTGTCGCCCCCACTACTTTCATCACCTGAGCAACCATGCTCACTGATCATGTTTGGAATATCTTCATTGCCTGCGCATTCATCATCCTGATGGCCTGAATACGTTGGAGCGTCATGAATTCTGTCGAAATCCTCCCCTGTATGCTGCTGCTGCTGCTGCTGCTGGCGCTGCTGCTGCTTTGCCGCAGTTCTGCTGGCGTTTTTGCTGATCTACTGGCGCGCTGGCGCCGCTGCTGCTGCTGCTGCGAAATACCCACCCTTCCTTTCTCGCGAGTGTTCCGCCCATGCCCTCCTTTAAATGTTTGCCGGAATTGAAAGCTTGAATCTGTGTCAACACCTCTCCGACTCCCTGCCTCCCTCTTTCCATCAGCGCCTTCAGCCTTGAAGGCCAAGAAGTTGTTGACTTCAAGCCGGGGCGAGGTAGGGTTTGTTTTGGTTTACTTTGTAGTTCAAACATTAGAAATAACATCTGAATCATGATTATCATGGCTTGTTATTTTGGCACGTTTCTTGGAACCGTATTTGAAATACCATGGTGCCAGCCGTGGAAATCAGTTGAGGGGGGCTACAGAGTCTCAAATTAGCTTCCGTCAACGAATTGTCAACATTGCTGTCGTAGGATGTTGGAGGGGCCCTCAACAAAGCTGAAAGATGAGGAAGAACATGGTCTGACAGCAGGGGGATAATATCTGCCCACTTGAAAGAATTTTTTCCCATTGACTTTGAGCTGGGTGGTGAAGAAAAGGATTGAAAGGAGGTGAAGAGGTAGGCGACCGCAAGAAAATAGATGTCGCGTCATGTATTGAAAAGCTCGCGCGTTGTTGTTCAAAGAGGGAAAAACGTGAAAGGACACGAAAAGAAATTAACGCTTGGGTGATTGAGCGGTTGGCCAACCCGTACAACCAGTCCTCTTGGCCCCTGATTGAATTGACTTTTCAGCCCCAGCCGCAGCCCAGCTTCATTGCCAATTAGTCTACGATGTAAAAAAATATTGCGCTTGTCCAGCGTTGAATTCGTTAAATCAAGAGGTGTGAACCAAATGATCACTTCTGAGGGGACCTCGGCCATCCCCTAAGGTAGGGCCCATGAAGCGCCAATATTATCTTGGTATCGGTGAGCGCGCAAACTCAAGAGAGCTTAGGTGTAGAGTGATAGTGCGAGGCATGCTTGCATCACAATGAAAGAGGAAAGAGACGAGAGGTGTGAGATGGTGAGAGAAAAGCGAAAGGCGTGATTAGAAAATTAGAATGGGACGAGATGAGATGAAAAGCATGTCACAAGTAAAGATGTATTATCCTTGTGGGAAGTGGCAACTTGAAGAAGCGTTGACTTGTCGCTATGGAGCTATCTAATCACCAGCCTTTTCACACAGGGTTCTTGCAGTGTCCCGGCGTATCCCCTTGCAAGACACCGTTGAAATGTTGGAAGGCGTATACTATCAGGGATGGAACTCTATGACCAGGTCTATAACCAACCTTCCTTGCTACTCGCTAAGCTACAGCGCAGCAGTATCAGCAAACAACATCTCACGGATCTAGCGGCTTGCTGTTGTTACACCAAGTGCAACAGGATGGCGGTGCTAAGTGCCCCAGCTACCTGCCCACACCAAGCACGGCTGCGACATCAGGACTTTATTCAGCGCGCACAGTTTTCAAGAAAGGCCGGATGTCTTCTACCTCTCAAAAGAGCTCCTCCGACTCTTTGGGTTTCGAGGGTTCCCAGGCACTGACCTCCAGCAAATTGTCATTGCTTTCTGTATCGATCAGGGCACCTGCGCACGTGATGTACAATTTCGATGACCAGAAAAATCGGTCTCCCAGCTTCTCCGACTTAGATCCTTTCTAAGTCCTTGACACGCCTGTGCGTTTGGGAACAATTGAATCTTGGAAGGGTATTTCTTTGTGACACGGCCAGCGTGGCTCAGCTTCATCACATGCATTCTGTGGCGGTTTGCTTGGGCACTCGATGACAGAAAAACGACAGGGCCTGGCGAGGTTTCGCATTGGAAAAGTCATTAGCGCACACAGCCCTCATTCGAGCAAACACCGAGCGTACATTGCGTACATTTTTGTAGAGGATCTTCGTGACGAAGTGCTAGAGGCGCTCAGGCCTGGATGAGTGGTACGAATGGTTCTGGGGGAAGACGTCGCATCCCGGAGATTGGCCTTGCCATGCTTGAACGTTGAGATGGTCGGAAGACTAGCAAATCGACCGTTGCGTGAGATGACCCAGCGGTTTTGGGCGGCTTATTTGAGCGTTGACAATCTGACAGTCTTCTATGGTGTCAAGGACGAAACTCCTCTGATGTTCGCTCTGCTGTGACAGGCCGGTGTACACAATTCGTGTGAGAATCGATGACAACACACAGGAGCTCACGCACGCTTAACTGTTGCATGCGCTTGGAGAAAGCGCATCCCTTTCAACAACAGGTCATCCTCTGCAGGTGCCGCAGCCATGAACTCGCACGATTCACTCTGCTTACTGCCAGGGCGCTCTTCGGGCACCAGCTCTGGACACAATTGGTACGCAGTACGGCGCCAGGAGAAGCTCGCACAAAAGCAGAGTTGAAAACCAATGGAACTAGTTTTGCACCACCTATTCTGACCAACAACTTTGAACCCTACCTGATTTCCAGAGAATGCGCAGCGCGCCTTTCGCACGGAGATTCCACTGCAACAAGTGTATCTGGACGCGGTGACCGCTTTGCAGTAAATGGAAAACTAAAATGGCGCCCGTCGTTCGGCCGGCGCGCGTGGGAATGTGTCATCATGTGTCATCGCACCAACCTCGTTCTTGCAGACGCGCCGCATATATCTCCCGTGTGCGCCGAAGCAATCAGAAACACGCGACGAAGTCCACGCATTTCTCTTCCTATAGACATTTCTATCTTTGCCTTGAAAAAGGTGCAACTTTTGTCCGGAAAGGCTCCTCGGCGCAACAACAGCTCCGCACAGCCAAAACTGAATGACGTCATGTGGAGCTTCTGCGTCGGCCAAAATGTATACGTTTCTGCGCTTGCCCTGCGCTAGGTGCGGGAGCTGTCGCGGTCGGCCTCAGCACTCCAATCCTGCACAAAACCAAAGAAACATAGCTAGACAGAAAAGTCCTGAACACAGGGGAGCTTCTGCGCCGGCCGAAATGTCTACGTTTCTGCGCTTGCCCCGTGCTAGGCGCAGCAGCTGTCGCGGTCACGGCCTCAGCGCCCGCGATGTCGATAATGCAGTCTCCCCTGGACGGTGCAACCGGCATCGCGAACGTTTGGTCCGAAGCCACGATATCATATCAATCCCCGCTGCACGCTAATTAAGCGGATTAATCTAGCAGCGTTCTTGCGGTTTACGCGAAGCCTCCACAACGCCTCGGCACCTTCGGCGCAGGCGGATTTTCCCGTTCTCCAATGAGACAAAGACAAGGCGCTTTCCATCCAATCCGCCCCGATCCGCATTGCGCAGCAGCATTACGGCCGTAATTTGGTCGCACCCTGAACGCAAGCATACAGACATGACACCATCAGTCATCCCGCGCAGCGTTTACGTCGGCGCTTTTTCTTTCCCCAACGGCATAGAGTTTACAGCGAGCTCTGCTCTGGGCCCATCTCTCACTGACGTGACTGCAAGCTTGCCAGTTCTGAGCCCACGGCTCCACGCATTTTCCGCGTTACTTTTGTTTGCGCTACAAAGATGCCAGTTCTGAGGCCACAGATTGTGGGGACATGCGCGCCACTAAGTTGCCAGTTCTGAGCAAAGTAATACTTTCCGTATCTTTCCGTCATTTTGCCTGAGACGAACGCTTGGGTGGGAGACCGCCGCGAAGAGCCGGCGGAGAAACGTCCGACACCGCCGAGTCCTGCGTGTCCACTCTGGCGAGGCCTCAACCATGTGGAGTTTGTTTCGGAGGCGCTCACCTCATCTGAGCGACAAGCTGGCAACCACATTCGTGAACGGTACCTCACAAGAAGTCCTGACGGCGGCCTCTATGCCGAAAAGAAAGCATCCAAAGAAATTCCTGCAGGAGGCAACCCTTGAACGAGGTGATGAAGCCAAATCACTCCAGTGGAACACTGTCGCTTCTACGCATGCCGCCGGAGCAGTCATCGATCGGCCCAGAGGCCGACGATGTCCGAGAAGCGTATGAGCCACCGCATCGTGGGCAGCTTTGCGATGGGCGCTATAAGCGTGAAGATGACTCAGCTCCCAGAACGAAGGCGTTGGTGCTTGTTGGGCCACTTAGACCTTGACCTGGGTGATTGAAGGTCCACTCCCAAAACGTTACCGTACCCTCCACGCACGCCTCGTGTATACGGACTCAACTGAAGTCAGCTACTTGCGCGCTTCTGGCTTCGATGGAAAACGCTCGGCATTGATTCCTGGCCGCCAAGCGCCTGAGAGCTGCTGGGGCTCTGGAGGTTCTTATCCGACCGTGCGGCAGGGACACTCAAACCCAAGCGTGAAATGGAGCGCGTGGACTGTGCTGTGGGTAGCCCGGGCTACCAACACATGTATGGGTTTGTATCTTGACATATATATGTTTATCTTAGATATATTACGAAAGCCAGTCGATAGGCAAGGCTTGAGCTTTTAGTGCGAACGAAGTGAGTTAAGGGGGTTTTGGTGGGCGGGGTGGTCGCTGAGGGGTCACTTTTGATAGGCAGGGTGAACCCAGAGCTTGGTGGGGGAGAGCGCTCAAAAGCGAGGGTCCGAACAGCAATGAAAACGGGGTCTGGTGATGCGAGTGATGTAATGGACGCCGAGTAGTGCATCATTAGCATCACGAAGGGCTTTGGAAACTATTTGGACAATGGGCATTGAGCACTCGAACGGAGACAGGGACCCACGCTGGAACAGCCTAGCCTAGCTGGCTTTCGTCCCCCCCTTCTCAGGTACATATATATATATGTGTGTGTGTGCGTATGTATGTATGTATGTATGTATGTACGCATGCCCTTTCATTCTGTATTTTTTGTTCGCATTGCACGTTAAAGACCCACATGTGTGGACATCAGACCGCATCGAGGTGAACTTTTGGAATGAAGAGGGCAGACGCCTAAAAGTCACCCTGATGACGCCTATCACGTTACAGTGCCGTGGCGATTGTGGCAGAAATTCATGACCAACTTCCAATATCTGGTGAAGCTGGTATTTTGGGCAAAACTTCTTGTGGACATTGCATGTCAACCTGTGAGAGATTGCAGCATTTTGATTCGGGTTGGTCACTGTTACGCGCACGTTGGTCAAGTTCAAAAAGCTGCCACAGGTCACGTGTCAAGTCACACTTTAGTTGCAAATTTTGCAGTTGCTCCTTTTGACGCTGTATTTTTGATTGCATTTTGCGCCAAGATCAAGTTCCACTCAAAATTTTGTTGAGTGGCGCTTCTCAAACTGACAGGAGGTTTGTGAATGCAAATTTACAGCAAAAACCTGTCACTCTTTGGGTAAGGCGTTTGAGCCCAAGGCCTTTGCCTCTGACTTTGTCGTGCGTTTCGTTTTGCAAATTGCTGTGCCCCTGAAAGAAAAACATGAAAAGTTGCCGCAGCAACCTTGCAAAATGTATTGGGGACCGGCGCCAGAAAAGGTTTATGCAATGGAGGTGCCCCGGCAGTTTTTTGTCAAATCGATGCCATCTAGATGCCATGTTCTGAAGGCTTGTGGACGTTGAAGATGAAAATGCAACCTGTGCGTTTTGGGATGCAAGAGCTTCCAGGCACAGTTTTGGCAATGCGTGAGTGTTCCTGACATGGGGAAAGTGGTCTTGTGCGAAAAGATTTGGCTGGCCTACCCTGCCAGGTGGTCAAAGGAAGGAATGGAGACTTTGCCATCAGACCCAACCACACTTCGATGCAATGTCTTTCATTTAACGACCTTCGGAGCCGTTACCAACCGCATAGCGCGTCTTGGCACAGTAGTATGTTACCAAACACTCCACCATTTTCCTTTCAAGGGAGTATTTGGGTATTTGGTCTTTCTTCTTCAAGCTCGGCTAACGAGTCATACAAAAAGCGGCTGTGAACACATGATGTCGGACAACTAGTAAGTATAACGTTGGTTTGTTGCTTTTAATATGTCCTTTTTTCCATACCACCAGGTTTGGAGTTTACCTTCCAAAGGCTTCTTTGTTGCTTCTGAGACAAGTTGGCTTGAGGCGAAACATTGAGTTGTCCTTCCAGTGCAGCACCTTTGCCTCGCTCATGGACGAGTCGGCCTTTTCAAAGCTTTCAGAACCCAAATGGCTTCAGCATTCATCTGCAATTCTGAGCATTATTTTCCTGATCCTCAGCATCGTGGCTGAACCTAGGTGCAAAGTGTGAAGGTGCGCTGTTCTTTTTTCAGGCCACGTGCAATGAGCTTTCGCTCGTGAGACGATCGAGGCCTCACTGCGATGTCCATCGCTGTGTGGGTGGATTGGAGGTCCAAAGATAAACTTCCACAGCACCAACGAGAGATTCTGCTGATGCGTGCCGCGGCGTGCAAGGTGGTTGTTGTTTGTTTTCGTCGGCCAGAGTTTCTGTTTGGAACCAACCACCATTTGTTGCTGCTCTAGAAGTTGTAGACAGGAATGGCTTGCATGGGCTGGGCTCACTTGGAAACAAAAGGTGAGAAATGCTCTTCCGAACACCTCGCTGTGGTTCATAATCAGGCATGGTTTTCCCGGGATCACTGTGAAGGGTTCCTTTGTTGAAAAGATTTGCTTTCTCAAAACCTAATTAATACTTCTGCGTGTCTAATTCTACATGTGCGTAGCAGTGCATGTGCTATCTGAAGGCCCACCACTTGTACACGCATCCATTTGTAACTTCCACATTTGCATAGGATATATTTGTTGGTTATTTTGTGGCTTGTACTCCTCGACTAGTAACAAGTGCATGGCTAGTAGCTATTTGGTTTTCCAATAGACACTCAAGCCGATGAAATAGATTTGATCAAATTCTGAATAGTCAGATGGTTCTATTTAAACATCAAAGAAGGCACCAGTGCCAGAGGAAAAGGTCAGGGGCAAGAACACATCTACTGCAAACGATCCTGGGGGGCTCCCCAGGAAAATCCAAAAGGTTCGTCCAGAAGCCTCTCAACTCAAAAGCATTTTGGCCATTTAGCAGTTCTGTGGTTCTGCAGTTCTGCATTTAGAGCTGGTGCGCGATAAAAATGCTGCAATATTTGGAAGTCCTCTTCTGTCAACGTCAACGCAATGTTGGCCTTGAAGGCAGCAGCTTGCCTTTGCATGACCTTGAGGCTCAAGGGCTATGCTCAGTGCCATACTATGTGATACACCCGTGAGGAACAAAAAGCGGGCGAAAGTTGAGAAGGCGGCCAGCTCAGAAGACCCATGGCATTTGGTAGATCAGCCATGGCCCATAGAAGAGGAGGACCCATGGCGCTTTGTTGCAGGGGGCTACAACTGCCACACCTCCTCCAGATGAACCTGATCCATAGGCTGCAGAACAGGCGCAAAAAACAATAGAAAGCCTGCAGCCATGCATTTGGATGAGCCTTTGCACTTAGCTGCTGCCATGTCTACTGGGAAGCAAAACACGAATCAATATGACTCAAACTGCACAAACGCAGCCAGAGTCAAGATGGTTTGCGCAAGGCGCTGCAAGCAAGCAAACAAAGTGTACAAGGCCTGGCTGTCAGGCAAACGCTATCAACTGGTCCCATTGCCTCCACTTTCTTAAGCAGTGGTCAAGTTTGACGGCTCAGGAGAGAGGCCACCTTTTGCGCTGCAGCATGGAAGATTGTGAGGCCACTAGTGGGGACAAGTTGGACAAAATGCAGTGGCATAGCTGTGGTTTGCAGGTATGCTTTGCGCGTTTTTGCGATGTTATGGCATCAAGCCAGAGAACCATCAGGAAGCTGATATCTGGGACACCAAAGCCCCAAAGACCACTTTTTCAGGGCACTCCATATGTCAGCTGCTGAACCTATGCCAGAAGCCCAAATGTATGCCAAACTCAGGGGCAGTTCTGCGGTTCCGTGGTTCTGAAGCTGAAGAAGTTCCAAGTGGCTCTGCAGGCCATGAGCCTTCCAGTGCAAAGGTGGGGGCTCGCAAGTCTGTGATCACAAGGAAGGACTTGCAGGAAATCAATGCCTGGGAACACTGGAGTTATGATTGGTTGGAGTCTGTCTGCGCAGACCATGGCAGCGGAAGTGGGCCAAGGTGTTCCAATCCCATCAGGCACATCCAGCATCAGCGGCCGATGGATTTGTATTGGCAATTCTGTGAAGAGTGGGCTGTGCGTGTGGAGAAGCAACCTGGCGCAGGACCTTGTCCAACTTTTCATACCTTTGTGAAAAGATATCAGACGCGTTGGAAGTTTGTCTTGGTGATGCGTAAGACATCACAACATGGGCAGTGCAAGACCTGCTTTGACTTCCATGCGGTTCTGCGGTCCAAAGCCAGTTGGGAAGTGAAAGTGCTTTGGTTTGCGCATGCTTATTTGGTAGATTCACATATTTGACGTTGCTTTCGCGCCAGTTTTTTCTATCACTTATGTATTTTGTGGCTAAGATCCGTGCAGCAAAGCAGCTCCGAGAACATCAACGGCAGCAATACCAGGACAGGACCTTGTACTGGGGGCTCCGCTTTGCCAGTGTTCATGATGAGTCAGTCTTGACCGTCATCATAGATTCGATGGGGAAATGGGGCACTGCTTGGCCACGCTTTGGTCATGAGAGACCAAGTAAAGACATGGACAATGTCCACCGCCCCAAACTGGTCTTGTCTGCAGCCCTAGCGCATGGCTGGGCCACCTTGCTGTTTGCCACCTCTGAGATGGAGAATCATGGGGCTGAAGCTAAGATAATTTAGTAAAAATAGAACTTTTGAAAATGAAGCAAGACTGCTTGCAAATTCAAACTAGCCATTATGAGATGTGCTGAGGACCACTTCTGCGAGATTCTTGCAAGGACACTGGACACCATTTGGCGAATAGCCCCGCGGGACAGCCGCAGAGTCCCACCTCATCTGGTGGTAGTTTGTGACAACACCACTGCACAGGCACACAACCAGCATGCCGTCAATTCATCCTCTATTCAGCGTGCAAAAAATTATTTGTCACCACTCGCTTGTTCCACCTTATGGTGGGGCACACACATGAGGACTGGGAGTTGCAATTGATCTCACCATGTTATTTTCTTGATCTTTAAGAGGTTTTTGCAAGCCATGCTCATCCTCCAAGTTCCAGGATGTGGACCAGCTCTTTGCAGTTATCAAGGCACACTGCTGTGTTAGCACCAGGGTGTTCCTTTTTGGGGTTGATTCATTGCTTCTGCCATGTTGCCATGTGAGAGGCAATCCTGATTGGAAAGCAGCGCTGGGAGACCGCTGATGAGATGACCAGATACATCCATGAGAAGCTCAGCCCCAGAGTGTGGGCTAAGAATGAGGTGTTGCTGGTCAACAATGTTACAGCTGTTCATGATTTTCAGCAATGGCTTGATCCTTCGGGTGTTGCACACACCTTAGTATTGAAGCGCATTGCTATCAGCATGAAATTGTGCGCTGCTGTTTGCTTCTTTGAACTGTTTGTTTGCTCCTCAGCCCTGCTGGAAGGGTTTCTGCCATTGCAACCCGTTTGCCCACGCAACTCATTGCCAAAAGAGAGAGAGAGAGAGAAAGATGGCAGAAGACGAGATTAAGAACTTCATCAAGCTGGCAAATCTTTGCATTGCAAAATATGGTATGCCACTAGCAGCTGAAGCCTTGAAGAACCAGGGATTATATGAGTGTGCAGTTCTGTTGGCTTTTGCAGCCACACCTTGCTTGCCACTTATGGAATGTGCATTTTCCACATTTGCCAGACAGCGCTTGGCAAATGCGCGCTCGTGTGTCCTGAAGTGTGTAAGTTCTGAAGTTCTGCAGTCATCAGCAGAAGTGAGGAAGTGGGAAAAGCGCGCGCTCTTTTTGTAGGCAGCCAGTTTGACATGTGTCCTTGACAAACCGTTTGACAATCACAACAAATTGTTATCAGGAATCACATGTTTTTGGTGTCAGCTAGCACAGCTCCTGCTTCCACAGTTTTTGGCCAAGGCTTGTGGCTCAGCAGTTCTGGCTTTGTGGTTCTGCAGTTCTCCGGTTCTGCAGTTTGCTTGCCACAATGGCTCCAACTTTGGAGGACCCATGTCATTATCATGTTGTTTTGGATTTAGTTGATGCAAAATCAAACACATGGATGTGTGATGTGTTCCACAAGTTCAATGAACATGCTCTGCTTGAGTTTCTGGCACTCAGGAGAAGTAGGATGCAACATGCAGAAAGATTTTTGCTGCAATCAAGAAGGAAATTGGTGGCTCCTTCATGTCTGTCCATGATTGGAAGAAGGCTGAGTATGATACTGAGACAAAGCGCATGAGGCTATCCAACGACTTAGATTGTTGGGACAACACGCGCCGGTCAATTTTGGGCATTGGGGGGACGGGTTGCCTCACAGTGCCTGCCGACTTGGTCACCGATGACAATGCACCTGTACGATTCAAGGTTCAGCCTTGGAAATTTGGGTTCCCGGGTTCCTGGATGAGTCACACTTGAAAGGGCCAGCCCAATCCTATGCAGTGAGCCTTGGAAGCACACATTTCACATTGAGGAAGCCACTCATAATCCAGCATTAGCCTCAACTGACACAAACCATTTGCTTTGCCTGAGGAGACAACATCCAGAAGATTGCGCGCAGCAAGAAGGGCAATGAGACAAGCAAGTGCCCACTTGATTGCTTGTTCAGCTTTCCAACCAGCCTGTGCCCCGAGCCGCAGCGGGAGGGGCAACATATCAAGAACTTTTCCATGGGGGTTTGCATACTTGGTGGTTCATTTTTGGCTAGGGAACTTGTAAGTATCTTGTAAGTGGTTGGTAACTTAGTTACGAAGGGGTTACAAGTTCTGTAACTAGCACAAGTTTTTATGTTAAGATGTGGCACTTGCAAGTTAGTTAGCAAAAGTTAGAAATTTCTAAGTTCTATATCTAGATTATCAAAAACTAGTCAAAAATAAGTTATAACTAACTTAGGGAACTTAACTTTTTTGAGATATAAAATTTCAAGTTTTTCTAATTTACACCAAAACTGATCAAATCGTGTTTTTTCGCACTTTGATTCTTAAACTTGAAATCGAGTTCATGCTCCGATCGCATGTTCATCACGCAGCTCACTGAGCCGTATGCCGTCTTGTCATGGTCATGGCTGACTCATGATGGATGTTGCTCCTGTATAAAAAACATGCGGCTCATTGAGCCGCAGGTTGTGTCTCTTGCAAAAAAATATACATTGAACCGCGTGCCATCTTGAGCAGATGATGGATGTCGCTCTTGTTTCAATAATAGACTCATTGAGCCGCAGGTCGGGTCTCACGCACTAAGCCATGTGCCTTCATCTTTCGCCATGCCTCATAGGCATCAACCACCATCTCCGCCGTGTAGGTCTCCGGCCGATTGGACAGCAGGATGGTCCCGTCCGCCAGGATGCAAAACCCGCAAGGTGGCCGCATTGCCTCCAGCTGCTCCGCATACGTCATCCTCCTAGGCTGCACAGGCTCCATCTTCAGCAGTACCGGCAGCTGAGGACGCGTCGCATGAGCAGCACACACTTGGAGCCAGCAAACGCCAGCAAACAAAAAGCATTGTTGCACTCAATCAGCAAAGCTCTCAATCAGCAAAACTTAAATCCTGACTCCTGGATTTTTTTTAAAAAGATCAGGGAGTCAGGAAATGTCTAAACTCATGAACTCATGAGGTGGTGGGGTTGGCAACTCTGAGAAATGAATTCTATTTGATAAAAGCTCATCGCATGACAAGCAAAATGCTTAAAATTCAGAAATTGAATTTATACATTTTTATACATTTTTATACATGTATAAATCGAATTCGTTATCAGTTTATACATGTATAAATTGAAAATGGTGTGATTTATACATGTATAAATTGATATTTTTTTGATTTATACATGTATAAATTTAGGTCCGCTTTGATTTATACATTTTTATACATTTTTTATACAGTTTTATACATTTTTATACATTTGTGATTCCGTGATATGTGAAAACAATCGGCTAGTCAAATTTTATGTGTGTGAAAGTTGTTGGTCAGCAGCCCGAATATTTAGATATATCAGGTGAAGCTATGGTAGTTCTGTTTTGAATGGTTCAATGGCAAATGAATCAAGGTTTATGTTTGATGCATTGCTTTTCAAGGACTGGTACTTTTGGTACAGGACCCTTTGCATAAGGTCCAGAGTATATGGTATTTTTCCACTGGGGCCGCCAGCCAACACATCTGGGCGGCCCAATGGGCCGCCAGCCAACCTAGATCTAGCCCATCAATTGACCACCAGCCAACCTATATGTAACCCCTGTATATTTTTCAAAGGGTTGAGCTGAATCAAGCTGAAGAAACAATCATTGAACATCAGTTGCCATTGAAGTTCAAAGAACAAGAGCAGTTTTGGTAGACATGACCAGCCTGTGCGCAGAACATGTTCGGATGAGCGTGGCCAACATCATGGTTGTCATGCCTTGGTTTGAGAAAGATGCAGACTTCCAGCTTGAGGTGTTGAGGGAGTGTTTGCTATGGCTGCGCTTCATGCGGTCTGACACGAAGGCACGTGGATCTGCAAACGAACACTTAGTTTTTCTCACAGCTGCCTGCCCATCTCAAGACGAAAATTTAGTTTTTCTATTTTTTAAACTTGTCTGAGACTATACTTTTGGTCGTCCAGGAACTTACAGAACTTATAAGTTAGTTACAAGTAATTTATACAACTTACGGTTATAATTAAAAAACTAATAAAACCTAAGTTCCCTAAGTACTACTTACAAGTTGCTTAAGTCTTATAAGTGTCTTAACTAAGTTGCAAGTGCCACAAGTAAAAACGAACCACCAAGTAGGTTCCTCCACCATCGTGGCTTGCTACTTGTTCACAATTTTCTGCATGAAGTTGGACTTGTTGCGCAGCGCTGACGGTGCAGACTTCAAGAAGAGTCTGGCAACATGGCTGCTGACTTGCCTTGTCATTCACTGCATGTCAACTCCCACAGACAATCCAGACCAGCACATGTTCGCTGCTATTGGGGAGAAACGCATGGCTGCCACAAGAACTATGCCATCTCCCTACCAGCATTGGTTTGTCTACCAGCGCATTCTAAGCAAGTCAACATTGGGACGTGGGTCTTTGTCTTAGTTTCTGTGTGGTAGCTTCTATTCCAGGTTTTGCAGACCCCACATGCGCCACCTTCCTTCCCCCAGGTCTAGGGATGGACAGCGCGCCCTCATCAATGAGCAGAACCGCCTGTGCCAGCCAAAGGCGCGTTTGAGCAGTGAGGAGATCACTTGCATTATGTTGCTGGACGCCTTGACGCAGCCGGAGAAGAGTTCAGGAACCTTGTGGCAGCAGCGCACCAGTCCGAGGCACCGCAGACACAGCGTTTCCTTTGTCTCTCTTGAGCAAGGACTCTTCTTGCCAAACACTTGTACAATTTCCAAAAACTCTATTCATTATTTGATGCGCCCTTTAGACCTGTAATTTTGAGGAAGAAGGATGAGAACTCTTTGTGGCGTGCTATCTTCAGCCATTGACCACGTGGGCCAAAAGAGTCAAGGGCAAGTGGGACTACAAGATGGCCCAGATCATTGGGGATAGCAGGCCTTGGCGCAATAGAGAGACCCAGGGAATGAGCTCTATATCTTCCAGATGGCACAGTGCACGCAGCGCTGTGATGCCCATTTTCGGGGGACTCTGAGCGAGTCAGCAGCTTCTTGGCGGGTACCTCCACCAAGCAAGCAGAGTTGAAGAAGGTTCTGAAGCAACTATCAATGGAGCAAAGACATGGAATGACATGGAGAACCTACATGGCCCAGGTCAAAGCACATGAAGATGGGCTTCTTGGTGACTTTAACAACCAGGTAGCGCGTCAGCAGGAGACATTGCAGCAAGCATGGGAAGAGCACAGGGAGGTCTTCTTCCCAGTGCAAGCTACTGCAAGCTGCTCAAGCACTATGCTTTTGGTGAGCCACGCGCACAGCAAGCTTGCCTTTAGCAGTTCCTGCGATTCTGCAGTTCTGCAGTCTTGCAGTTCTGCTGACACCCCAGTCATTTATGAATGGACTTTCCGCAAAGCTGGAAGTGCAGCTTCAAGGGCCCCATACCACTCCCTATCACGCCCTATCACTCCCACCTCACTCCCTACCTCACTCCATACCTCACACCCTACCTCATTCCCTACCTCACTCCCTACCTCTCTCCATACCTCATAGCCGGCGCCGGTGCATTAAGCAAAAACACTGTCTGGAAACAACTCAATGCTTCCTTTTGTTTCAGAAGATTGCTGGCCGAAACGGCGTTCAATTTCAAATTGCAATCCCAGGACGAAAAAGCTACAAAAGGCGTTGATGGCAAGGGCAAACAAATCCATACCTCACTCCATACCTCATCCCCTACCTCACTCCCTACCTCACTCCATACCTCACAAGTTCATGTCAATGGTTTCTGCACGAAGGATGCTTGAATCTCTCAGAACCGCCAAAGATTCAAAGAAACGCTGCCAAATTTTAGGTCTTCCAAACCAAACATTGTCAAAGTAAGCATGGCAAGCTAACGTCAAGTTGCAAGAATCCAAAGTTCACAGCTTGTGTGTAAAACACGAGTACCAAGGCTTGAAAAATTGATAGGCCAAACGCACTTATAGAAAAAATGGAAAAGGGAAAGAACTCAAGGACTAACCTATATATGAAGGAGCAATTGTCAAAACATAGTTCTGTATAATACGTTTCGGGCTAAAGCGAAACCATCCTTGCAGTTTTACTCGCGTCGTCACGTTGCGGCGTCGTCGAAACGTCCCATCGTCGCTAGCGACTCAACCTGCAATTGCAAGACACAAAGCAAATCAGAGATGCTGATCGGGCCTTCAATCTCAAAACCAATCGCATCTTGCCAAACAAAATGCTTCGCAAAGCGTTTTTTGAAAATACAGGGAACCTGAATGTTAGAAGCCAACAAAGTATCCAATCCAAGCAGGAAGGAAATCATGAATGCTGATCTGGCCTTCAATGTCAAAGCCACATGCACCTTGCCAAACGAAATATTTTGCAAATTGTTCTTTGAAAGCACAGGCAAGCCAAATGTCAGTGGCCAGTCCAAGTTCGCACATACCCTAAGGGCCCCTAAGGTCATGCAGGCTCACGTGCCATCACCCGCAACCCATAAAGCAGTGATACAGCGACTACACAAACCAGAAAGGATTCTGTGTTTGCAGGTTTTGCTTTTCTCTGTTTGAAGAACACAACTGCAAATGTAGCAAGCAAAACGTTTCATCGCAGCATCCTACCGTTCAATGATTGCACAAGCACACCCAAGACGATTTGACAAACATGCTGAAGCATGTCAAAAATCCACACATATCAACTTTGGCTGCGAAGCTTTCAGGAGCCTTTCTCAGAGTTCCAGTGTTCCAGGGCGGGTTCCAGGGTTCCAAGGTTCCAGGGTTCCAAAATTCCATATTTGAGTTCATGCGCCGCCCTGCCCCCCCCACATGACCCAAATGTCGAGTTCTAGCATTCACCTTTTCAGGGTTCTGGCGTTCACATTTTGAGGGTTCCATGAATCCAAGGTTCCAGGCTTCGAGGGTTGCAGGGTTCCGGTTCCGGGCAATCGGAGGCGGCACCACTCCCAGACCTAGAGATTGAAACCCAACAGTCCTACTGCTGTTGGGAACAATGAAGAAAACAGAAAGTTTGAGGATTTCATATGTTCGAAGCCGGGGCTAAGGCTAAACTTAGCCATCATGTTTGGTTCCATTATTACACGTGTTCCTCCTGTGATAGCCTAGCTGCGCCAGACTTGTTGCAGTCAGACATGCCCATGAAATCATTTCCAATCAATGTACTTTAATCTTATCAACAGCTTTTCTGGCCTAACAACAAGGACACTGCGCTTTCTCATTTACAGCATTCTATGCGCGCAATCTTTCAGAAGGGAGGAGACGAAAAGAACCCATTGCAATATAGATGTGTTTTGCAGAGGTTGGTTGACATCTCCCTCCTCAGGGTGTTGTTTGGTTCAAAGCAAATGCATTAAGTTGCTTGCGTCCACCCAAAAGATGGTCTCGGACGATCACTGCACGTGTCAGGCTTATTGGCAAGGCCCCGCCCTTCAACAGTCTCTTGTGTTGGAACACCACCGATCTAAAACAGCGACACTTTAATTGCTCTTTATGGGCAGACCATCAACCCAGCCTTGCAAGACTTATGCAGTTCTGCAGTTCTTTGAGCCCTTTCCCCAACTGGGATTTGGTTTTTCATGGGCCATTTCTGCTGCTGCGTATTGTACATATTCAGCGGGCCCCTGAGGTGTGAACGCTGGAGGTCGCGGCCGAGGTGCTAAAAAGGACACGGGAACCCAGTGGCCCGCAGGGCTGCGTCAAAGATTGTGTGCGCAAGCCTCCGACACCCAAGCAGCCATTGGTGTAGCTGTCAAAAGAACAACGGCTCTTGAACATCACCAAACAAGGACCCAACCATTCTAAAGCGCGCCATCCTTTATGGAACCTGCGCCTGCATACAAGCACTACGCCGCTAAACAAAACCCTCCTGTATCAATGCCACTCCCCCTTATGGAAGTCTCATTTTGATCAGATTCTGATTGCATAGAAAAAACATCCCGCCTTATCCAGAACCCCCTCCTCTAATTTGCATGGTTATATTCTATTTGCTCAATGCTTAAGCTTGGCTTTGACTGTATAAATGTGTAAGGATCACAACTTTCAAGGTTAAAGTGGGTGTCTAGGAAATCTATGCTTTGCAAAAGTTTTTCCGAAAGCCGGCCGATAGGCTAGGCGAGAGTTGGTTTTGCGAACGAAGTGAGATAAGGGGGGGAGACCCAAATAAGATCAAATATCAAGGTGGAAAAGTTGGAAAAGGCGTGGCGGAGAGTGTGAAACAGTGTCCGATGATGCAACAGATTGGATGGTGCTGCATCACTTGCATTCCACTTGCATGCGCACGTAAATCCACATGAAAGGAGGAGAAGCTTGTGGATATCTCCTAAATGGTTATGTCGGTGGGTGGATAGATGGATTGATGTCTAGTTCTCGATCTCGGCCTTCAGCTCTTTCTATAGGCCTGAGTTCTCGACCCATAGATTTGCTTAGACCTCTACAAACTCAAGATTTCTATCTCGGCCGGATCTTTCTAGACCGCTAGGCCTCGGAGTTCTCAAACTCTGCCCAGCTATAGTGCTCTTAGATTTCAAGACCTCTAGATCATTACTAGACCTCTGGGCCTCTCTGGATTTCAAGACCCCAACTTCTGGAATACTGGGTCTTTAGGCCTTTTTGGAATCAATTTCGACTTCTATATCTTTAGATGTCTAGACCTCAAACTCTAAACCTTTAGACCTACATTTCTTGGATCTCAAGACTTCTACACCTAGCTAGACATCCACATCCAGATCTCTCTAGAACTCTAGGTCTGCTTTTCTCCCAAGACCTAAATGGCTCTCAGGACTTCTGGAACCCAATGCGTCTAGATCTCTAGGCCTTCTGCTTCTACACCTCTGGACCTTAAACCTCTAGACACACGTTTGAAGTCTCTTGTGGGGAAACCTTTTGTTGTTTTAGTCCTATTTTTGGTTCAGGCCTTTCGGCGGTGCACTTGCAAGAGCCTTCTCAAGAAGTATCGAAAGTGTGCTTCCACGGCCCCCCTTTCTGTTTTTAGCTTGTCTCTGTCACTTGCAGGAGAAAGATGCAACCGCTGACGACGCACAACAGGAAACGCAGCAGGACATCCTGGAGAAACCTGGACTTGATCAAGTGACGAATTCAATACTTGTGGTGTCAAATGGACAAAGTACACAAGTTTGCATCTTGAGGTCACTGTTTCGGAGGTCAGTGCAGTGAGGACTTACAGCTTGGTCCTGGTGCTTCCCCCACGGACCCAACGAAATAAGTCATTAGCGCATTTTAAAGCCAGACCCGTGATGTGTCAAAGAGCCATGCTCGTTTTTATAGTTGTATTAAAAGTATGTGCATACAGCAACTTAGCACCCCCAAACTGCCTCTAGTTGCGCACCCTCTCACACGCACTTGGGTTTGGAGTCTGGACTTGGACCCCCCGTGGGCAATTTAGCAGCTCAGCAACTTTGCAACTCCACCATCATAGTCTATGGGCAGCGTGCAACCGCGGTAGGAATACATGCTATGTATTTATAGAGAGACAGGACATGTGAGCACCCACTCACTCAGATGGACCCCTCGGACTTTCAGTTTTACAATCCTCTCACCGTCGCAGCATCACGGACGTCGATATTTGTTGCACTTTTGCATCAAGCTGCAACACCATGAGTGTAGCGGAGCCGACCCGAGGGGCTCAATAAAGATACCCCGGGAAGAGAGTGAAGATCCAGGGAAGAGAAGAAGAGAGAAGGTGAAAAGAAGGAGAAAAGAAAAGAAGAAATGGATGAACAGGTGGCAAAAGCTTTGGTGGCCACCACGCAGCAATCGGCCGTGATGGCCCAAGAAGCAGTCAAGACTCTGAAGGAGATGAAAGAAAAAGAAGGAAAGAAGAATGGCGAGGGATTCGCCGCAGCAAGCAAAGTGGTGAGATCTCCAGAGGTCTTTGAGCCAAAGAACATGGAAGAAGAGCTGCCCCAATGGCAAGATTGGCGATTAGCCTTTAAGAGCTGGATCACGTTTGCTGAAGAAGCCTACAACAAGGAGCTCGACACGATTGAAGGCTCTGAGAATGAGGTGAAGCTCGCCAGCATGACAGCCGAAGAAAAAGGAAGGTCAGAAAAGCTCTTTGCCTATGCCATTTTGGTGTGGGCTGCTACGGAATAGGCCTCTCAAGTTGCTGAGGGCAGTTGAGGGCCGCAATGGCTATGAGGTTTGGAGGCAGCTGAGTCTCCAACTGGCTCTAAAGACGAGATCGGGGTCGATCGCTTTGTTGCAAGCTTTCCTCAACCACCCCAACTTCACGAAAGACAAAGGATGACCATGCTGGAGCAGCTGCTTGGTCTACAAAGGTTGGCTGAGGAGTATGGCAAGGTGGCCAAAGAGGACATTGGTGACAACACCAAGTTGAGCGTGCTGCTGAGGGTGATGCCAGCTGCAGTCAGACAACATTTGCAGTTGCAGATGACGGAGGACACGTCCTACACAAGGAGGCCAGAGAGAAGATGTTGGCCTATGAGCGAACCACCACTTCATGGGGGAGCCAGGCAATTTACAAAGAACTGGCCATCACCAAGGACTACGACAAGCACGATGAGGTGATCCCCATGGATGTTGACAGAGTGAAAGGTAAGGAGAAAGGGAAAGGAAAAGGAAAGGACAAAGGCGGCAAGTCCAAGGGCAAGCAGAAGAGGAAAGGTTTTGGCAACTATGCCAACACAGACTACAAGGGCAAGGGCAAGCAGTACAAAGGAAAGGATGGCAAAGGCAAGGATGCCAAAGGAAAGGGCAAAGGTGTAGCTTCAGACACCTGCAAGCTCTGTGGAGGCAAAGGCCACTGAAGGAATGTCCAATGAGGGCACTGAGACAGGTCAGTGAAACATCTTCCACTGTCACGACTTCAGTGGGAGACAGTGCAAGTGTTGCCCAGGCATCAGGTACGACACCATCAACAAGATCGAAGAATGTCAGAAGGGTCGAGACGGTGATCCTGGATGAGGATGAAGGGGACAATGCAGTTGGGCGTGTCCGGATGGTGGGGACCGAAACCTATGACCTCACCTACCGACAACGATGAAGATTGGATCGTGTTCAAACATCCATGTGAAGGCCAAGGGGAAGCTCGTTTTGTGGGCTTTGAGGACTTGGTCGATGGTGGAGGTTCGAGGCCTCAAAGGAAGGGATGCAACAAAGTTGACTTTGTTCGCACGGTCGCTGGAGAAGATGGAACGGTGGTGATCCTCGACTCACGAGCTGACATCTCGGTGCTCCCCATGAGCTACCGAGAAGTGGGATTCCCGCTTGATCGGGTGACCTCGTTGAGGGATGCTCAAGGAGGGAAGATGACGAATGGCGGCATGCGCCAAGCCATTATCGAGCTTGAGAATGAAGAAGGCCATTTGGGCGAACTAAGGGAGAGCTTTGCCCTGTCCAATGTGAAGGAACCTCTACTTGCATTGGGCAAGCTGCTGAGAAGAGGTTGGAAGATAGAAGGAGAAAGTGGAGATGTGCGATTGCCGCACGGGCTGTTCAGCAAAAGTTTGCAGTTCAGGCACAATTCACTGGTGGTGGACGCCAAAATTCGAAAGGTTGGGACAATCATGGACCAGCCTGTGGAGGAGAGCAAGGTGAGAGCAGTGACCATGGAGTTTCAATTTTTGTTGAAGTCACTGTTGGGCGTAGCTGGTTGGCACCTCACAAGTGACAGAAGAGTTCCCTTTCTGGTCACATTGAGCACGAAGTTCTACAAAGACTCCTTCCCACAGTTCAACAGAGTTGATTTTCCTTACAGGTCAACTGTCATTTGGAAGTCTGGGAATTGGTCGAAATGGCCGAGCAGAAGCAGGACGAAGATGAGATTGAGGAGTGTGAAGGTGAAGAAGTGAAGACAGTTAGCTTCTTCCACCAGACGGTGGATGATTTCATGGCATTGGGAGTGATAAGCCCAGGAGATGATTCACCGTTCTTGAGGCCCGACATCTACAAGAAGTTTGACCTTGAGGAGAAGAAGAGGAAGGAGGGAAGTGCAGTTGTTGAGGGTTGGTTTGGCTGATGACGGTGACCCGTTCGGACGCCAGAAAGCCCCTCTTGATCCTGAGATCAGTGAAGTGGAGGTCGAAGGTGAAGCATATACAGAGAGATTTCGTCTTTGAGGGAGTTGAGAAGAGCATTGAAGAAATGCGGCCTTGGCAGAGAAAAGAACAAGAAGGAGGCATGGAAGATGCTCGTGCACCACTATCAGCATTTTGCTGAGAACCTGAGCATCGAACTGTCAAGGAAAGAATTTCAGAGGATGAAGGCTGGCGAAGGAGAAGAAGCCAAAGGACAGTCAGCGCCGAGAATGCCATCGAAAGCGGAACGACAAGTTCATGAATTGACTCACTTTCCATATCAGCCTTGGTGCTAGCATTGCATCGCTGGAAGAGGTCGCGATGACTATCATGAACGCCAAGCATGCTTCGAGACAAGAAGGAAAGGCAGAAATGCCAGTGATCTCGATGATGAGGTGGATGTCGAAGTGAAGGAGGATTTACGCATCTACCAAGGTGATTTTAAAGGAGGAACATGCCTGGTGGTGACAGATGACTGGTCACACGCAGTTTTGTGTGTGTGCCAAAATCAGGGAAAGGCAGGGCCCACCTGAAGTTCATGGCTGAACAGGTGATGAGGTTCATTGGGAGCTTGGGGTATTCACGAGTAATCCTCAAAGGAGATGGAGAACCTTCGATGAGAATGCTGTTGGAGGTACTTCAACAAGCGAGGTTGAGATTGGGTTTCCACACAAACATTGAGATCGTGTGGAAAGAGAGATTCAGACGGTAAGAGGCATGGCGAGGACATTGGTTCACGGTGTCAAGGAAGGCTGTCAGATGCATATCAAGCCATCTTCGCCAGTGTTCCTTTGGGCTATGCGCCATGCAGGATGGTTGTTGACACACTATAGGCGACAAGGAGGTGGACCAACAGCCTATGAGACAAGGACAGGAAGAAAGTACTGTGACAAGGTTGCAGTCTTTGGCGAACGTGTGTTGGCAAGGGTGAAGAGAGCCAACGGAAGTGACAAGTTTGAACCGGGCTTATGGCTTGGAAAGACAGACAGAACAGATTTCCACACGGCAGCAACAGCTTCAGGTTTGAAGTGGACAAGAATTATGAGACGGCTACCAACTCCTTTTGACCCTGAGACCGTGACGTACGTGAAGTTCTGGCCATGGAACATTGGGTTTGGGCAGATTGGTGCCAAAGCTTCTGCGCTGGTAGGCAAGTTTCCTACGGTTCCATTGCCTCCAGATCTCGCCCCAGGAATTCGAGCAGAGGAGAAGAAGTTGGCTAAGGAGGAGAAAGCAAAGAAGAAAGAAGATGAGGCGAGGCTGAGGGGTGAAGAAGTACGAGGAGAGAAAAGGCAGGCAGGGGCAGATGAGGAAAGCAGCAAAGGAGATGGTCCAGACATGAGTGATTACACTCCAACACAACCAGATGAAGAAAAGGATGAAGGAGGTCTGGAGATCACAGATGACACATTGCTGCAACCTGCTTGATAGTTTGGAGGAGCCTACGGTTGAGAGCGAAGTCGACAAGGCGCCAGCCAGTCCAAGAGGGAGCCCCATGGATAGTCCAAAGAGGTCGGGAGGAGAAGGAGATGTGGAAGATGAGACGCCAAAGAAAATGGCAAAGTCTGCACCTAGGAAGATGTTGAAGACCAAAGCGAGTTCAGAGAAGGACGAACCTGAACCAGCGTCAGCTTCGACAATTCGCATGGTGGTTGCTGGAGAACTGCTGTATGATGGAGATGAAAGTTTGGAGCTTCCAGATCAACCCCCAGAGTTGCCGGAAGCTGAACTTGCAGAGATTGAAGATGAAGCCACAAAGGAAGAGATTCAGAGGCTGATTGGCATGACAGTTTTGCTGCCACCCGGAAAGAACGATGATTTTGAGGACATCCCGTTGCTAACAACAAAGTTGGTGATGGATTGGCAGTGGCGAGAGAACAGGTGGAAGAGAAGGGCAAGATTGGTTGCACGTGATTTTGCCTGGCGTGACCCCAACAGGTCACCTTTCGTGGCTGTGCACACATGAGGTAGGCATCCTTGACGTCCATGGTGATCATCTTCCAGCCTTTGACCTGACAAATGGCTGGGGCCAACCTCAGGAGTGAATGTCCTCCCGCTGGCGCAAAGACGTCTGTAAGTTAGCCTGGACAAGGCATTGGCTGAGCGACTTGGACTTGAGCAGGAATGGATCCTAGGCCGGATTCTCCCAGGACAACGAGAAGGTGCAGCACGATGGTTCCAAGAGCTAAGGAAGAGTCTGGTTGAGGCAGGGCTCGCGCCATGTGCTGAGGCACCTACTTTGTGGAGAGGCCTAGATGCGATCTTGTTGGTCCATGTCGATGACATGATCCTTGGAGGAGAAGAGAAGGAGGTGGCAAGAGTCACTGACCACCTCATGAAGCGTTACAAGGTGTCTGTTGAAGACGACCAGGTGCTGAGCTTCTTGAAGAGGACTCTGATGGTGGATGCCTCAGAAACCAAGATGATGGTGAATGAGAAGTACATCCACAATCTCGTGAAGATGATGAGTCCTGTGAAGAAGTGAAGAAATTGAGGAGCCGGAATTGAGGACGGAAGTACCATGGAGGAGGACGATGGAGAAAGCCAATGTACAGGTCAGCGGTTGGAACATTGTTGTACATGGCCGGTGACAGGCCAGACATCCAGTTTCATGCGCAAGTCCAACAGAAGGTGCATGGAAGGTTCTAGAGAAATTGGTTGGCTATTTGGCCACAACCATGGACATGCATTTGGTGATGAGGAGTCGACAAAGAGCGACCCAGAAGAACATTACTTTGTCAAGCACGGAGGCAGAGTATGTTGCTTTGGCTTCAGGAGCTTCAGAAGGTTTGTTGCTGGCAGTCGAACACCTCACAGGTGAGCAGGTGAAGTTGGTCATCTATGGCGACAACAGCTCGAGCATAGCAATTGCTCAGAAAGAAGGTGTCGGAAAATTGAAGCGCCTAAGTGGACGACTACTGTGGCTCCAACAGAGACAAAGCAAAGATTTAGATTTGCGGAAATTGGATACGGCTACAAATCCATCTGACATCGGCGCCAAGACGCTTGGAGGCAAGCGCATCAACCTGTTGATGTACATCATGGGCTTTACAGACTCCTCACAGCAACTTGGTAGGACAGAGTTCGAAGCAGAGAGAGCAAAGGCTGAGCAGAAGAGAAGGTTGCCACCAGAGAAGAGCGCCCAGGCGAACCAGCTGGCAAAGAGGTTGTTGAGGCTCACAATGACGGCATTGCTAGCAGATTCAGCCTTGGGCCTGGCGACGGCAGAAGACCAGCAGTGCTTTCGGGAGGATGAGCCGCAGAAGCAGCCAGAAGGATTGCTTGGGAGAAAGGAAACAGGAGGTGAGATGCTTGGGCAAGTGGTGATGGGATTGACAATCGCCATTGTGATCTTGAGCATTGCAATCCTGATCTTGCTGAAGGCCTTGAAGAACACAGCAAGAGAGTTGAGGAGACATGTGACTTCATGGCAAGCACTGAGGAGTGCAGTCGGAGGCGCCTCAGATGAAGAGCAAGAGAGGATTGACCTGAGCATGTGGAACGCTCCAATGAGATGGCCGGAGAACCAAGGAAGCACAGAGTGGCAAAATTGGTCAAACTGACCATCAGGGCACAGAAGCAGACATGAAAATGACGAGACAGACGAAGAACCTGAAGGAGACTCTGGATTAAGTTTCAGAGATGTTGTTGGCCCATCTGAGTACCGTGTGTGGGGTGAAGAAATGGAAGAAGAAACACAAGAATAAGATGGCGAAGTGAGAGTAAGCTCTTACATCGACGATGAAGGCTACGTGCACGAGACACAAGTGCGTGTGAGAATGGTGAGAGTAGAGACAGAGGAGGAAAGAAGGCAGTGAGATGAGGATGAAGAGTCAGAGAACAGCCTGACGTCGGACTACGGAAGTCTGGAACCACATCGAACCAGAGGCTGAGTATGAACACCTGGAGGATGAGGCCTACCAGGCATACAGGCTTGAACAGATTGAGAATGATGTGGGCATCGAAGTGTACATCATCATGAAGGTGAGGCAATTTCGCCAGATGATGGAGGTAGATCCATCATATGAAGACATCCCAACGGGATATTCGATGTTTAGAGAACTCCAGAGGATGCTGATGATCACTGGAGCGGGAACAAGGAAAGAGGTGACTGATGACATCAGAAGCTTAAGGCAGTACACCTACCATGTGAAGAAAGGGCATGAAGATGTGAACCGCCCAGTAGAAGAAAGTGAATGGCCGGACGGCTGGATGGCTGCAAATTGGGGACCACCAAGGATGCTCAGAGAACTCAGGATGCCACCAAGAAGACAACGAGTGAGACGAAGAAATGAAAGCAGTAGCTCTGAAGAGCAAGATGCAATGGCAGCACTAGAGCTGCAGGATCGAGGTCGAGACGACCATGTGCTCATGGATGAACCGGAGCCAGAAATCGAGCAGGTGCACCCAGAGGGTGAGCATGTTTTGGCAGTGAAACCTTGCCATGAAAAGGCAGGGTGTGAAGCTGTGACCATGACGGTTACATACCGAAACCCTACAGGCTCAGAGCGCCCCCTCGCAGGAACAATCTGTGCGGTCGCGCGTTCACTCGCGTGTTTTCAAGAATTCACACTGCAGGCCGTCAACAGGCCCAGAGAAGGCCCAAGCCTTTTAGATGGCAGCGGAGTCTAGTGAAGCTAAGCTCCCCGGAGCTCTGGGCCAGGACCTTTAGCCCTTGGCCCAATCTTTGAGGACAGGGCCCGATCCTCTAGAGCCATAGGCTTTGTTTGCAGCAGCTGCTTGCGGCAGCTGGGCATCTTCCTTGGTGGCTGAGAAAAGCAGAGCTCCATGGCAGGTGGCTCAGAAGATCCACGGTTTTGCAAAAGCTTGCAGCTCTCGCTGCGACGAGCAGGCCCAAAGACTGTGGTGAAGCCAGATGTAAGGAGTGGAGGCCTCTCAGGAGAGAGCGCGCAGAAGCTTCAATTGAAGGTTTGGGCTTTGTGCGTCAAGAGCTGCGCGCATACCTTGTCATGAGAGATGCTCTGAAGGTGCAACGCCGGGAGGAGTTTCCTGGACATCAACGGACGTCTTGAACGCCATAGTCTAGTGTAGATTCGGGTGGCCATTGAGAAATCGAAAATGAAAAAGATGAACCAGACCATGGATCTAGCTGGGGTCTTGGAAGTGACAAGTCCGGAGAAGTTCGACAAGTCCAACAACTTGGAGAGCTAGAGGAAGAGATGCTGAGCCTCCAGAGCCCTACACAGAAGAAGGATTCCCAGGAATCGTGTTTTTGTTGAATGACCAAACAGGAGAAGTTCAAAAGCACCGCATTTGGGACCTGGAGATTGACAACCCAATGCAAGAGAAGAGCACTTCACCCTAATGCATTGGTCCTGAAGGATTGGTTGTGACTAGCATTGTCAAAGGAGGAGCGTTGCGCTTTTACATCAAGATGTAACACCATGAGTATTTCCATGCGAGCATGTTGAGCAGAGTTCACACCGCAGGCCGTCAACAGGTTCAGAAAACGTACAACCTTTTAAAATATTGGAGACCACCCTCAAAAACGTTTTTTTATGTTACATTTCTCCACGTGAACAAAGGCACCCCACGTGGCGCCAAACGTTGCGGGCGGCCTGTGGCAATTGCATGGAGTTCCTGGGCCACGCCACAGGCGACAATGCCATCGAAGGTGTCAAGGACTTTCACCAGAGCATTGCATCGTGTGTGACTCTGTGCGACCGACATTTTTTAAATTTATATGTATATATATATATATGTATATGTGTGTGTGTATACATTTTTTCATTCAAACTCGAGGTTGAAAACAGATGGCACAGTCCCGCTTGCACAGGCTCCCCCTCGAAAGTGGTCTAAGTCAAGTCAATGGGATCGGTGTGACTCACCAACTCTCAACCTACATTACAGTGTAGGTACTGGCAACTTAGTGGGTGCAAATACTAATCAGAGTGTGAGCAACGGGTTTTTGTCTGAAACTGTTCCAGCCCTTGATTGTTCTGTCTATTGAGGCATTGCCTCGCCACAATTCAAGGACACAAACGTCAGTCCAGAAAAGGTGTTTCCTCTTTGCCTCTCTCCATCTGCTAGTATATCTAGACCAAGCGCTAATGAGTGGAGGTAGCTCCGCTTTGAGCAAGAGAAACAGACCAGAAAGTGAATTTTGTTTTGGCACCCGATTGTACCTACACCTCCCCACATGGTATTATAGGCCACGTTCGCGCGCAAGCTGACATGCATTCCAAGTGGCTTCGCACAGCCCTTTTCGCAGCTTTGGTTCAGGCAAGGTTACTACACCAGTAAACTGAAGCAATACAACAAAATTGGTTGCTACTCCAAACATGGGCGAGTTCTCGGTTGATCTCCCACCGCAAGCAGAAATTGTTGTTTTTACATTGATTTGGACCAAGTAAACAATTGCCAGGAGCTTTGTGCGAACGCAGAGGCCGCTTCTATCAACAAATCGATTTCCATGTTGCAGAGTCACAGGACTGGAGTGGCTAGAACAGACGCCAAAGACCGTTTGGTCAGGCATTGAATTGAATGAGTTCAGCAAAGGGCCTCATTGTGTGTCTAAATTTATGAAAATGCAAGGAAACTGTTGAGTTTGTTCCCGGAACCGTGGAGGTTTGATGTCACAAGACATTTCTGTTGAATTTGTTGTGCTTTTGGGGTCTACGCCTGGTGCTACCCACTCCGCAGGGTGTCGGTCTAAGTTTCAGTGTCAGGTATTCTTAATGGTCCGCAATTGCCACCTTGGTTAAAACCGCCAAAAACTGTCTAAAATTGCTTGGCGCAGGCTGAACCTCGCTGTCAAATGGTTTCAAAGCCATTTAACCCCAACACAATGCTGAAGTAGCTCCAACATGGCTTTGAGCCCACCAGCGTGATGTGCATTGTTGTCATTTTTGTACCCAAATCATCCTACCAGTAATCAAGCTTTTTGTTCAGGGTTTCGATGCAGAGGAGCGGAGCGTGCCAAATCACCATAAAGGTCCTTGAGCATGACGAGAGCGAGCCGGTCCCGAGCTATGCAAAAGAATTTGACGTCTGGAAAACGAAAGAATAGCTAGGCAGTCAGTTGACCATCTCACGGTCTTGAGATGGCGCATACATGAGTTAAGCATAGCTAAGCAGCTAAAGTGTTACTAATCCAGTTGAATTCCGCCTACCTTCATGATTTGAACTTCAAGATCAAATTGGGTGAACGGCCTTGAATTTTGAAAAAGCGTCTTCGTACACCGCTACAACCTTTACAAACTGTTCCAACAAAATTCCAAGCTCTCTCCGCTATGCCAGAGGTTTCCTTATGCAGCTCAGGTGAAGAGAAGTCGCAGCCGCAAAGTGTCGCTGGTCCGCGGAGCTTTGTCGCCGCCCAGCTCCAATGTCTCGCGATCTGGAAGACTTCTCTTTCATCGAAGCCGAGTTGAGACACGCATATTTTTTTTTTTGAAGAAGCATCGAGTCATGCTGTATATATGTGGAGACCATAAGGGCTTGGGTTTTGAGAGGTTTGGGGCTTCTCCAATTGAAGTCCGCGCAAGCGAAGGAGGGCACCTGCTGCTCAGAAATGTTGTTTGAAGAATCGAGGATGCCAATCAGAGCATCGATGTAGGACCAGCTCGGATGGACAGCTTGTTCAGCTCGAGCTGGGGATAGGATGAGATAGGTGTACTTCACAAACCGTTGTCGTTTCGAAAGACAATTGAGAATGAGCGTGACACTGTTGTGCTCCAAGGGTCCGGCAGGAGTCCTCCGTCCAACACCAGATCTCCAAGGTGTGGGGATCATCGGGTTGAAAACTGGATTTGGGTCAAAACATGTTGGTATCGATTTATATATAACCTTGTCTGGCTCATGAAAATGAACAGAACGGACGCCTGTAAAAATGGATTCCATATTCATGTCTCAACACATTGGCCATTTGCGCAAATGCTCGAAATAGCCACAAGCGATAGGAATGTTGAAATATGCATGTAGGGACATGACAGGACATGACCGGAAGGGGCTCGGCCTGGTGGCCTGATGGAATCATAGCACCAACGTGTGCAAACCCAGAAGTCAAGGCAGCACGACGAAAGCCACGAGGGACCGCCTAATTTGGCCAGGCTGATGTCATCTATATGAAATCTGCAGAGGTTGGAGCAGGAGTGATGATCTCTCGCTGTCTACTTTTATACTGGGAAGGCTCAGTGAATGGCCGAACATGCCTGAGTTTGTGGCTGAGTCGGAAGGACTCCGTGGGTCCAAATACCTTCTGAGTAGGTACTTGGCGAAGTGATTGGGTTTTGGTGTAGTCCCCTGAGTGGACCATGATCACACTTGTTTAAGGACTCTTCGAAGTGGTGAATAGTAGGAACCATTCGACACCTTTAATCCGTGAGGGATCAGAACTGTCCGGCTTTCTTCAGTCTATGGAGCACGTTGGTCCTCCATCAGACACCCAAAGAGGGGGCCTACATGGATGTGTGCTTAATTCTTAAATAATTTGTTTGTCCATGCTTTGGTCATGACCTCAGGAAAAATGGCGGGCCAACACCGCAATTCTAGTTGTATAAAATGGTGCTGGCGTTGTTAGGGACCCTGGAGTTTCAAGCACAGGCCAGTTAGTGTCGGCACGATTTCCCCACAAAATGCACGTGTTCATTATTCTTGTGCATGACATTAATGCATTGTTTTTGTACTGTTTTTACCACTCCAGTGAGCATACTTTTTTTACTGTAAATCATACTGTAAATTACGTCTTGCATGTCTGAAAAATGTGTCCCTCGCATCTTTTCGGCACCTCAGCGAACAGACGTCTTCAACATTTGATGCATTGTTTGCCCATAATCTTCCGCAAGCTGTTCCCACAGTTTCTTCGAAACTGAAAACTCCACACATACTTCACAATGTGTGGTGGTGACCTCGATCACATGTGCGCCGGTCTTCACAGACCTTGTTGAGCTTGCGACAGAACAAGACAAACACGCGAGCCATGCAAAACGGGACGAAAAGATAAAGAGAGCAGCCACCACACCGCGCGCAGGTTTGGTGTAAAACAGTTGGTATACACCGTGTCCACATAGACATCAACACTCGCGAAATTACAATGTCCACCGAAACCAAAGTCTCCACACAGAATGAGGACGTGATCAACCGAAGCAGAACCACCAAACACAACGAAAACATTTCGAGGGAGGTCAGAGAGCGCATCCTGTAAGCCCAAAAACTTTGCGGTTCGGATGAAATTACCCTTCCATCCCACCCCACACCCTCCTAACCAAGACCGGGTCGAATGAAGAAAAATGCTCGAAGCGGCAGCCGCAGGCGTCATTTGCCAAAAAATGATTCACAGCGCAGGGGTCACAAATGACGCTGGCAGCTTAAACAAACACTTGCACCGCTTGTTCTGAAGATGCTAACTGTATTTGATAGCCTACGGCCAGTTTCGACTCGAGCTTCCTGTTAATCTGTTAATCTAAAGGCACAGGCGAGATGAAGAAGTGAAGCTCGTTCTTCTATTTATGGAGTTCTCTCAGCTTAACAGCCTCGCAAACGGAGAGGGGTTCTCCGACTGCTGGATCGTTCAGTTTTTGGTGGGGCGAGAACTTGAGAAAAAGAATTGAAGTCGCACACCAAGCCATGATAGAGTCTTGAGACTCCTGAATGTTTGTGACGTGGTCGCTTTGTTTGATGGAAACGCTATCCCAAATCCTTGACCCTGCTGAGAAGGTTGAACAGAATGAACAGAAGTGGCTTTCCAAAACTCAAAATGAGCAGAGGTGGCTTTTCTGTTCGGGGTTAGGTGCTCTAAGTTATATAGAGAAATTGAGATCTAACAGGTCTAAGTTGGAGTTGAGCTGACAGGACGGGAGGGGAGCGAGCGACGACCTGAGATGCTTTTTAGGTCAAAGTTGGTTGTAGGTCATAGACGATTTTGACAGCGTAGGTGGATGTAGGCGATGCGGGGTTCTCCACCAACCTTCTAATGTATTTGTTTGTGTTTAGTATCAATTTACATTCATTCAGGGTGTCCATCCCATATTGCTAAGAACCCACAGAGTAGAGCTGAGCAGACTTCTGGAGGAGCAGCAGAACAATTCCTTCGCAGCAATTGCTTTGGCCGCATTTGCGCTCTTTTCCCTGCGGTCCATGCCTGGCTAAAGGCTGCTGAGCCCAGATATAAAAAAGGAACAGCTGAGCAATTTCAATACTGGCTCGCAACATCAGGTTCTTCGCTTCAGCGTAGTGGTCTCTCACTCCGTGCGCGTGATGTTGATCGCTGCTTGGACCAAAGGCAGTATGAAGCCCTGCAATGCCCTACATGTTTTTTTAAGTGTGGTGGACAGGAGTTGTTTAGAATGACTAAACGGCTATCGCTCTTGACAAGGGGCGGCGGGCACGTTTTGTTGTAGGTGTGGTTCGTCACTGAAAGGCATGCAGATGCCTGCTTTGACAACAGAAGGTGTGCTATGTTCGTTGCTTTCTATTGAGGCCATGAAAATCATCAGCGCGGGCGCGCTGGGTGCTCTGTTCTTTTCCACCACTGAGCACACACCTGAGTCAGACCCGGACGCCAGGCATGTGCTGATGAGACAGCTGCAAGCACGAGTGGAAGGAAAAATATGCAATAAACAAGACAATAATATGAAATGATTCTATGTACTTGGTCCGTTTGGTCCACAGTGTCTGTCCTGAGAAGATCCTCTCTGAGCGGAAATGTAAGGAATGTGTGGAGCCAACGGATCCCTTTGACCAGCTGGTGCAAACCGCCACGGTTGGCTTGGTGTTTCAGCGGAAGATGTGGGGATTGAGCAAGCAACGGAATTGAACAATGTTGAACATTCCAAGCACCCGTTTGCTAAACCAGACAGGGTTGTTCAATTTCATCCTTGAAGCTAGGGAGAAAGGTTTTGCTGTTTTGCAGCCAGGACAAGCTGCGTGCAAAACAAAAAGATATATATTTAAATTCAACTCCAAGTTTCCATTCCGATCAACAGCGGTTGGGTGGCGCATGCTGAATAGGTGCCCAGCAAGTCTACACCACGCCTACTCACAACGTCCGTTCACCTTCACCCTTCACTGACCCTGAACGTACAAGCCGCCTGGCTCATTCAACCTCTTCAGAACTTTTTGCCAAGGGAACCGCAGTCTTGGGGGACGGCATCATCCTGGTCTTCTTTTTAGTCCAGAGGCGGGCAGTTCATTCTGTTGCACACATCAACCCCAAAAGCACAACCAGGTATTTTTGTTTTCCCAAGAAGTCCCGAAATGGGCTGGTTGTATTGGGACTGTTCATTCACTCTGACTTGACACCCACACTAAACCCTTTCCAGCCCCATGCGGATGACCAAGTCACAGGCGGAGCGTTGTCGAGCGACGCCGCTGGACTGCTGGGATGAAGCGCCGGCAGCGCTGTTGTTGGCGCTTCAGGCTGGATCCAGGAATTCAACGGTTTTGTTGCATGTAAAAATAATCGTTCTGTCAGGGGTTGCAACTCGGTTGCTTGTCGGGATCCTGGCAAGTTTTGGTGATCGAAAGCCTGGCTCAGTTTGTTCCTTTCACTGAGCGCAGCAATGGTGTGCGTAGGCCCAGGCATATGGTACTTTTTGGGTTTCAAGCTTGAACTTGTATATATAAAGCTTTGTTGGGGGGAGCGGGGAGCGCACGCTACATCAGAAAGCCCAAGTGGTGCACCTCCCGCATTTGCAATGCACTCGGCCTGTGTCTCACGCGTGTTTTGCTGGTTCTTGCTTGTTCACGAGCTTCACGACTGCATGACGCTTGCGACGAGGTCGCCCAACTGTTCGCGTCGGTATCCGCTCCAAAGGTTTTTGTTGCCGCTCAGTTCTCTCCTACATGTTTCGCTTCCCGAACTTACCGAGCGAGAACGTTTATGGTTTCTAAGCCTAAGCCGTGAACACACATGCGGCGGGTAGCGAGCTCACTTGATGGATTAAGAACCTGTGTGAGATTTCAGAAGCTTCATGATGGGAGGGTCACCATTTCAATGTGGGTATTACATTGTCACATTGCTAAGATGTGATCCCTTTAGATGGTGTTGGAACCTCGGTGGATATTGGGTGATGCTGCTCGTGCCTGACAGGACAATGGTCTTCTGGATTTTGGCCATATCGTGTCTTGGATGTGGGTGATTCGTGGTTGGCTTTGCAGTCATTGCTTTTGCAGGGTACGTCTTGGAACCAGAAAGCTACTGCAGTCACTCAGGGAGTACTTGGTAATATGACATTTGCTTGAATCTGACAAGTAAAATACGGTGTTATATTTCGAGCCACAGAACCGGCTCTAGTCTGAGCCTAATTTCTTTGTGATCCACGGCAACAAAGGGGCCGAACTGCCAAACTGTTGGTTGGATTTCCTATTTTGAGGGATCTCAGGGAAGATGACTGTGCAAGAGGAAGTAAGTACATATGGAAATGCGCAGACGGCTATGCCATTAGCATGCGGATGGAGTCTGAAAAGACAGCTTTGAGAATTGGAGCCAATAATAACATAGTAACATGGTGTTAGGTGTGAAGATTGCTGGTTCGAAGACCACAATCTCCTTTGTTTGGGCATTTGAAGTTAAAATAACGGAATCCGGCAAAGCACCGGGCCAGATTGATTTGGATGCAGAAGACACTGATTATCAAAGCAAAGACTTCCAACTGCTGGATTTGGTGAATCCAAAAGCCTTCAGATCCCGCCAAACTCATTCGGATCCTCAGCTCCCTCTCGTCCCGGAGCTGTGGGGTATGGCATCAAGCACCGCAAGAAGTACCAAGGTACTTCTGTTATTGTCAGCTCTACATTTGGCTCTTTTTGGCCAACGTCTCACAAGAGAGTGCAACAAGTTGGTTCGAGAGCCTTGTGGTGACGTTGGTGCAGGACATGTTGCTGTTTAGATGAGCCGGGGCTAGTGATGTCGAATATTGCTCGCTTCTTTCAGTGGGTTCTTTCACAGGACTTCCTGCTGAAGCCTTTCATTTTGGCGCTGGTTTTGGGTGCCCTCACCACCCTGATTCTGTGCTGCCGTCCCAGATTGAAGAGGCGGAGTCCATAGCCGGAATTTACCCCTCTGGATCAAGGGCACAAGAAGCAGATTTTGGGTATGGCTGCAGACACGGCAGAGAAGTTAGGTCGGGCGAATGGGCGAATCCACCCCTGGTCCACCAGACTGCGGTTTCGTGAGGTTTCATGGGCACCAACTGAATGCGGGGATAAGGTGACGTGGGGAGCTTCGAAGAGCTGATGCTCTCAGGAACGAAGATTCCAGTGGGTGGAGAGAAGGTATGGGTACAGATGGGGCAAGCACAGTGTATCATAGTGAACACATCCCAAAGCATTGCTATCCAACATCACGGTAGAGAATGTAAACGCAACCAAAACCCTAAGTACATGCCAGGCATGAAATGATATAAGATCATGCGCGTAGTTTCTCTGATAATTACGCTGATACAATATATTGTATGAAATACTGTATAAAATATATAGTATAATTATAACATCCATATATATATATATATATGTCAAAATTAACTACTTTTTTTAATATACATATAGTGAAATGAACACAAAATCTTCATTAGTTACCTATCATTCTTTGCAGAATCTACTGAAAAGGAACCACATGCAGGGACGTCCAAAGATTGGTTGGCCGCTCTAGATTCAGGCAGGTTTTGCAAAAATGGAAGCCCATTGATGAGCCATCAGAGTCTGTCAGGGAGGCTGGGGGCGAAGAAGTTCTGTTTCTGTGCGGCTGCGCTATTGCAAATCAAGAGACAGTGCGCAAATCAACAGCCAGATGTGCTTCCTTTAAGATTTCAGGCAGGCCGGCAAAAGCTTGCCCCATGATCCCAAGGGCATTTGTTGGTGCATAGGAATGTAGATCGGCAATCAATCTATATACAGACCTTCTCAGAAAGCTTGGACCTTTGTCAGTAGGGGGGTTGGGCCCTCAGGGACCGGATCCTTAGGGTGAAGACCCCCCTCAGGACGTGGGGAGTTTGGCTACAGAGGAACAGGCAAACAAGCGCTTGTTGAAGCTACTTAACTCGAACGTAATGAAAATATTGAAATGCTCCAGGTGTTTCGCATTAAAACATGGCCTCGAAGGATGTAATTCTTGCAGTTTGTTCAGCACTGCTTCATCAGCAAAAGTTTGGCATTGTTGGAGACTGTCGTGTCACTCTTAATCAGAGGGACAGCTTTCCCGCAATTGAAGCAGAGGCAGCAGGCAAACAGTTGTTGCAAATACAATATTTGACTAACAACGTGAAGTTTTGCATCACCATTGCACGTGAGCTTTCAGCTCGCCACCATGACAGGACGAGAGTAACAACGCTTTAGAGGAGGACGATGGCCGGCCTTGCAAGCCCTCGCTTTGCATGCAGCACGTTCAAGGGGTTTGAGAGAGCATCATGCTCTGGGGGGCTTGGGTGGTAATTGCCCCCAAGCAGCTGACGGAAGCCTCCTGTGATCCAGAGTTTATCTCCACCACTCTCTATAGGCTCCATGGTAGAGCCACCTAGAAAATCCTGTTTTCAATTAGGCAGCGTTCTTTGACTCCTGATGCTTTTGCACTGTACATTGGACTGCAGCAGGAACTCGAACGCTGCAAGGGTTGTTTTTGGGCGCCGTCCAGCCTCATCCATTCCTCCCTAGCAGTACTTACTAGTTAGTAGTTGACGCGCCGATTGGTGCTGACAGCTTTGCTTGCTCTTTTTTTGGCCAGCTGCTCCACATATATATATATATTATATATAATTCTGTGCAAGTTAAACAAGAACCAACGGAATTGCATGTCCGTTTCCGGTTAATGCTGTCAGCAGGACTTCCGTGAAGCTCTTTCGGATGTGGAAAGCTTGGAGGCCGCTGGCGGGTGCAAGGACTTCCCTTATGGATAACGGGTCACCTCCGCCCCCCTCCACGAATTCCAACTTGCAATACAACCCCCCCTCGATCCACGTGACAATCTCCGCGACAGTGTTGGCAAAATGGGTGGAAGAAAGCATACGGAGCAGTGCCTCGTCATTCTGGGATGTTGCTTGATACATCCCGCTTCCTCTTGAAGAAAGCGTGGAAAACAATTTGTTTGCAAATTGTTCTGCCAATGCCACAGGCCTCCATAGGCCTGGGTAGAGTCTCGATCCTGCATGGACTGCCATGGACCTTCGCCGAGGCTCGGGTCCGTGCAAATAGCTTTCTTCTGGAGGATGCGACTTTACGCCGAGCGCTGAGCCACGTTCAGGCAGCGAAATCGAAGATGGTGTATGGATTCAGATGTCTCCAGCTTCTAGATCAATCATTTGACTGTCCTTGCTTCAGCCCTTATATTTGGGAGTTCAGAGCTGGTCGGCCGATCAAGTGTCGCAGGCATGGCCGTGCCTTTCGTCGTATCTATCCACTGGTTCTTTACGGGCAACTCCGCACGCCAGTGTAGTCGAGAAGAAACTTTTCCCAGTCAACAGACATTGCCACAGAAAAACATTCAATTTCGTTTGTCCTCGGTTTGTCAACCATTTGTAAGACTATGTTGGAACTTGAGGATCTATAAGAAGAGAGAAGTAGCCTTTTCTCAGTAGGATCTAGCAGTTTATTGAGGATGCCAAAATGCCAAGGCTTCGCAGATCCTGAGATATCCCAGCTCGTTCGGAGCCACAGCATTGTGCTGATTGAAGGTCAGGGTTCTTTCGGTTGCAAAAGATTTGAATGAACCGTGAGGCATAGTCGCACCGAACCCGGTGAAAACGAATTCAAGTTCTTAGTGGATGGAGTCAACTTGATCAAAGGCCATGCTATTGATTGCACTACTATATAGGAGATGAATCGCATCAGGTTGGAATCAAGGGTTCTTGGAGTTGAGCGGATTTGTGTGGTTGTCACAATCCTCTCACATCCGGCAATTTCCTTTTTGGGGTTCTTGTAAAGCTGGTTCACGCAGGTTCTTCGATCATCTCATCCAATACCTGCTTACAAGCTATTGCGTCTTGTATGTGACCTATTTGTAGTTCTCACGTTCCTTGTGTGTTGAGGCTCTAGGGACTCTAGGTATTCCTCCAAGCTGGGACGATTGGGGCTACTGTACGAGTCTGTTTGTTAAGCTGATAATCGGCTGGGACATGTTGACCATGTGAGGTCCAGCCATTTTTATCCATTTTTGGGGGAAGGCAGTTGTCGTTGGTATTGGACACCTCAACCAACACAGGCTAATTTGTGACCCCACAGATTCCCACACGCAGCCTTGGTCCTAGCATGCCTTTGTGGCCAAATTAAGACAATTCCACATGCACGCGAGCTAGCAGCGCCCCAAAAGGCAATGAGAATAGACGGCCATTGAATGCCGGAAGACTCGATCCATCTCAATGCATTTCGCGTTTGCGATCAACTCGTTTTGGCCGAGCTTGCAAGGTCGGACAATTCGTGATTAGAGATGGTATGGTCAGCATCCGCTTCTGAGCCGCCCCGAAGCCGAGCCATTTTCAATTTGTTCCGACCAACGACCGAGAAGTGAAACGCCTGCGGTTCCTTAATGTCTCAGGAACGAACGTGTGCCAAGCTGACTTGAACCTCAACCAACGGCTTTGATCAACTGAGTTCTCAAAACCATGTTTTAATGTACTAAGATGATCTAAGAGTCTAAGATGTTCATACTTTTGCTTGCTAGAACATCAGTGATGGAGCTACAATGGCAAAGTTGGCCCATGGGGTCTCCTTTGTCTAAATCGATTTTATGCTTAGTGTTGTCATATCCCACTCTCTAGCAGCGAATTTGCCAAAGGCAACCAACCAACATTTGGAGAATTGCCAAAGGCAAGATAGTCCAAAGCCAGTTAGCAGCGACGAATCATGTTGAGATTAGGATAGTAGCTTGTTTCGATGATAAAGCAGGTGATTAAACTAATACATACAGAGACGGATAGATAAATATTCATATATGGGAGTTATCCAAAAGGTCCTTGTAAGGGTTTTTAATGTCGAGAGCCTTGGATGACATGATCGTGGGTCTCGCGAAAGTTCTTTTTTCGAGTTCGCGGATGTTAATCTTTTTTCGCGAAAGATTCGCGAAAGTATGTTTATTCCAGTTCCTTTTTTTTGTATGCTTGTTTTTTCATTATGGTAGAACAGCGCACGAAGAAGCTATAGGCATCCTCGGCTTGAGTGGTAGCACTGCACCATGGATAGACATGTAGGAAAACATGTGCCAACGAAATTTTGCTCCAACACCAGCTTCCTGTCTGTAGCATCCTCCTGCTGAACCAAAAACACTCCGTGCACTTGTATTTAGAAATCGAGTCCCTACAAGGTTTAATGGTTTCAAGAGATGGTGAACCCCCGCGAAAGAAAAACACAGGGTTCGCGAAAGTTTCGCGAATGTTATTTTTGTTTTCGCGAAGAATGGCCGTTTCAACAAACAATAATATTGGACAACCACCATACATATTATATATGAATATCGGCTAATTGAGATGTTGTTTTGAGTCAGAGACTGTCATGCGGCGCTGAACATTTTTATATAAGGCAGATTATTTGTTGTATTGAATTACCAACAGAATAAGAACAGAGCCAATGATGAATGTATTCAATACCTTCCTGGCAGGGTTTGTACTCTCGCCCTTTATGTTCGGGTTGGCCACCGGTCCCCCCCCGCACAAACTGTGGCTTTGCGACAAGAGAGACTTGAAGGTTGAAACAAACCTAGGATCAATATGTCGGCTGAAAAGATGTTCCTAGAACTGTGGGGTCGAGATCCCATTTTGGTTCAATAGATTCAATCAATTGAGGGGCAATATGGACGTGATGGTTCAAAGGACCTTGCTGCGTATATGGGTTTCGAGGTGCTTGGTGTGAAGATTGTTTTTAAGAAGTTGGAGATGCGGAGGCTTGGATTGCAGAAACGTTTAAAGACGTTTACCGACAACAAGACTTGAAATGGTTCAAAAGGCTTTGGGGGTGAAGATGTGTTCAACCGTTTTTGTATGCAAAAAATATGGGGCGACATGGGCTTCAAGGTTCAACCAAACTTGGATTCAGTGAAGATAGCTTCAATGTATTTTTGGTGCAAAGAAGAGGGCGGTAATGCAAAGATGTTGAAAGAGATTTAGACAAAGATGATTTCTAAGTTCAATTGAATTCGGGATTAGTTCAAAGAATACTGAGGTGAAGAGGAGTGCTTTTTAGTTCAACATTCTCTGGGAGCAGGAAAGTTTGGCACAAAAGTGCGCAAAATAACACTGAAGGTTAGGAATTTGGCATGAAGTTGGGTTGTAAGGTTCTTCGCGGGAAAATTGGTTTTAAGAGGTTGCGGACCAAGAGGATTGTAATATCTATTATTCGAAGATTTTTACCAAAACATAAATGTCTAAGCTTGAAGGCACGTGGGATAAATGGACTTGAATTATTTATGCAATTTAGGATTTGGAATTCGTATTTTTTAATTATATAAATATTAATTATATAAATATAAATTAAAGATGTAAAAATATATCGTATTTATTTATTGACTATTATTAATTAAAATATATGAATATATTTTGTATATTTGATGAATTGGTAATAATTGTTTGTTTAAATATATATTTTATTTATATAATTGATATTAAAATTATTTGTATTGAAGAAATTATATTGATTGATATTATATAATGTATTTTTGATAATAATATACAATTATTTATAATTTATATTGATATTTATATATAATTGATTTATTTTATTTATGATATTTTTTTGGATAAAATATTTTATTAAATTATTAGTAGTTGAAAGCGCCATTTGCAGATTAAGAAAGGGAACGTCGGGCGTGGTTTTTTTTTTTCCACTTTCGTGCCATGCGTTGCTTGTGAATATCCGTAGCATGCTTAGCCCCACTTTTTCGCTCCTTATTCTTTTGAACTTCATAGATTTGCAAAGCCTGGTCTTAAGTCTAGGCGGGATGGACCGAAATGAGCCTTTTATGCTTGTACCCACCATCCCGGGCGTGAGGGTTGTCTCTCCCGCCTCAGGAGAGCGCGTGAACCCGATTCATGTCCATGATATTCTACCACCTCGGGCGAAACATCACCACGAGGCATGGACAACAGCTGGCTTAGCCTTCGTCTAGTCTCGGAATCGGTGCAACCGATTAGAACGATCGTATACTCGAACATGTTTTCGATCCTTGGATCACGGATTAGCCATGTATCGCAATAAAGCCTTCTACCTAGCACAGGTGCCCTTTCGAATACGCTAGCTATGGGCACAGCGTCGTCGACAGCTCCCCTGCCCTCGGGTATCCAATCCGACCCCTCCCGCATTAGGCCATCTGCAAGTGCTACAGTGGAATGCTTCAAGATCGCTGCACTATCCCAGCTGGCCCCAGCTGGCTTGCCTGGTGTGATCGATCACCATATGACATCATTATCGCCCAGGAAACGGGATGGGGAATGACAAGTGAATGGAGTACCCCTCAATGGCATGTGTTACATGGGCTGATCGGTATGCTTCAGTTCTCGTGATGATTCGTGCAGCCCTGATCTCACGAGAAGCCATCTCGGTTGCACACCACATCCCCGGCAGGATCATGCAGGTGAGATTGCACTTGTACCGCCCTCACGACATATATGCCATCTATCAACATGCATGGAACTCAGGCGGGAACGTTTCGCAATTGTTGAACGAACGCCAAAGAGTTTGGGATTGCCTTCGTAATTGCATCAACCATACCCCAACACGGAATCTTCTGGTATTAGGCGGTGATTATAA